CAGTAAGTCTTTCTCAGTGGAGAAACATTATTGACAATATGAGAGGCAGTATGCCTTAGAACAGTGGTCCCCAACTTCTTTGACACCAAGGACCGGTTTAGTTAAAAACCATTCTCATCAGGACAGAGGGGGTACTTGTTATATAGTAGGTTGTTAGAGGATAGCTTTGAATCGAGCTCATAAAGGCAATGGTTAGCCGGAGCAGGAGGTGAGCTGCAATTGAAGCTCTGCCTCTTGTTGGATCAGCAGTGGCTTAGAACCTAGTAGTAGCACCTCCTGCTTGTTGCTCATCTGTCTCAGCAGCCCAGTCCTTCCAAGGCCACGGACCAGTACTGGTCCACGGCCTGGGGGTTGGGGACTGCCTTAGAATATCAATTTCTGGGAAATTAGATAGAGAGTGCTGTTACACTTATGTCCCTTGTGAAATCCCAAGCCACAAGGTCCTACTTGGTCACTGTGTGAACTAAAGCTGGACAAGATTAGCCTTTGACCTTATCTAATATAGTTCTTATGCTCTTTCTATCATTTAAAATATTCTATTTTTAAAATTTCTTAGTTTTTTTTTTCTAATATGGGTGCAGGGGTCAAATCCTGTTGCATGGCTCCACTATCACAGAGGGCATAGCAAGTGCCTCCAACTAAAGAGTCTGAATTCAGTTTGTACATGACTTTGTTTCACTGTACAATAGTCACATGCAACCAGCAACAAAAAGAGGAACACAATCTACAAAAAGAGGAACACAAGCCACCTAGAATGGTCTTTTAGACCAGATGGGCGGGGTATAAATCAAATAAATAAATAAAATACAAGCAGTATTCAGGCCCACCACAAAAATACAACAAATGTTACGGCCAGCAAAGGACAAAAGGGACCCCCTCACCACTGCAGGAGTATTCAAGATACCTTGCAGTTGTGGCCAGGTATATATAGGAACCACAATATGCAGCATCTACACCAGAATCAAAGAACATGAAAGACACTGCAGACTAAAACAACTGGAAAAATCGACAGTTGCTGAACATGACCTGAAACCAGCTGGACAAGAAATTCTATTTCAGAAGACCGAAGTAGTGGACAACACCCGCAATCACTATGTTAGACTACACAAAGAAGCCACTGAAATCCACAAACATTGGCACAGCTTCAACAAAAAAGAAGAAAGTCTAAAACTCAACAAGTCTGGCTCCCACCACTGAAAAATACAGCCTTCAAAAAGGTAAATAAACTCTACCCAACCACAAGGACCGGTCACTGCACACAAAAGACTAGCTAACAACAGCCATCAATCACAGTGACAGATCATCTCCCCCCCTTATCACAACAATACACCCATAACAAAAAACACGCTGATCAGCATAATCACCCATCTCCTGAAAAGGACAAAAAGCTGATCCTACAGCTACAAATACTCAACAAGCCACACAGTACACGAAAACACAGAGTTCTAACTCCTGTCCTCTGAAGATGCTGGCCACAGAGACTGGCGAAACGTTAGGAAGAAAAACCTCCAGAACACAGCCAAACAGCCCGAAAAACCTACAACAACCAAAAGCAGGAACTCTTTAACGAACACCAATCTAGCTTGGATGATTTTATTCTTGCTATAGCATCAGAGCTATGCAACAAGATATTGGTCAGTGAAGATTTACAGTGAAGATTTACAAAAGTTTAATAGAAATATAATTTATAAATCGTGGTATAAAGGTACACTTTTATCAAGGAATAACTAATCATTACAAACAATAAACTGATGCAACACATGATGGAACACAGGCATTTAAAAACTGGACATGCATGTTTTGAGAGTGGAGAGGCAACTTAAGCTACTTCCAAAAGATAATACTAGGCAAGGCTTTTTATTAAGAGCATCCCAAATATCCATCAATATTTGATACCTTCTCAGCCAATTAACTATTGTTCTTAGGCATAAAAAGCATACTGTCAGTATAATGAAAAGTGATGCCATGGTTGTTGTAGTGTTTACCCTTATTATGTTAAGTAGTTATGAATATTCATGTTGTAGGCAAGAAATATAATAAAGAGTCAGAATCAGAGAGTGAAAGCAGTCAGAGTGAGAGAGGAGAGACAGTGGAGAGATAGAGTGTGGTATTTGGGAGATCTGAGGTGTGATTAGAGTAAAAAGTGAATAAGAACTGTAATAACAAATAGAAGGTTGAGATTGATGATAATTGAAGTTACCTGTGATTAATAATAACATCTTTTAATCAATAAACAACTTTTATTTAAAAGACAGTGAAGTTTGGACCTGCATCTTCATCCTTCCATAATTAATGTTGACTTAGTGATCAGCTGGTGACAGTGGGTAAAAAGGAGTAGTGGTTTGACTTTGTTGGCTCTGTGTTTGGAGGGTCAGGCAAGGGACAAAAGGGCGAACGCCACAGTTGTTTTTTCACCTTACAGTTTTCACAATGACAATTTTCACAATGAAAATTGTTTTTTGCAACAATAGGACAACAGGTGGAAACTTTGCTTCATACACATATCTCAAAGTCAAAAGAGAAAAGCACATATACTCAGTCATGCAAGCATGGCTTACTCTCTGACTTGGACAAAATGCATGCACACATCCTTTGCAACCCATGTGACACAAGTCTTCTGGACGCCAATGCAAAACACTATGCAGAAAAGCAGTACAAGGTGAAGACTGACCTGTATTTGTTTACCCAATTAAATCTTTTGCCAGCTTAGAAAAGCTTTCTGAGACGAAGACTGTTAGCACCTATTCTGAGGACATGGGTGGAAATCATGTGGACCTGCTACTGAGCCCCATCTCCCGTCAGCATAACTAGTGGTGAGGAGCAATGGGCACACATTCCCCATCTCTGTCTAAAGAACACATGCATGTTACTAAATTTTGGAAGCAAGAAATGAGTAGAGAAGGACTGCTGCCTAAAAATATTAAATACTCCCAGAAAAACATATTTCAAAGGTATATTACCAGACCTGGCCACTAGAGGGCACCAGAGACTATGCTATACAGCAGTGATGGTGAACCTTTTTGAGCCAGAGTGCCCAAACTGCAACACAAAATCAACTTATTTATTTCCAAGTGCCAATACTGCAATTAAAACCCGAAGGTTTCAGTTTAGAAAAAATAACTGCTCCTGCACTGCAAGGGTTACATGCTTTTTTCCTTTTCCCTATGGGCCGTATTAAGAAAGGAATACTTACCAGTCCTTCAATCCCCGTTGGACTAGACCGGTAATGGTTGCCATTGCATTCCCTCTGCTGGACCACTGCACCAGCAGAGGGGAGTGCCAAAATCCAGGATCGGAGGACGGGTAAGTATTTCTCTATGGCGACTTATGGCTCGTGTGCCCACAGAGAGAGTTTTGTGTATCAGCTGTGGCACGCGTGCCATAGGTTCACCATCACTGCTATACAGCATTTTTATATCCATGCTTTCCAGCATCCTCAGGGAAGGGGAAGGGGCTTGGATAACATGGTCCTATTGTTCATGCTTCCAGAATCTGAGACTCAGGTTTAATCCTATGCATGGTTTCTTGGAATAAACTCCAATTAATAATGTGGTTCTTACTTCCATGTATAAGATTGTGCCTCTCAAGATTCTAGGTAGTTACTTCACTTTGGCATGGAGAACTTTATTAGGCTCTCCCATCCATTCACAGAAACATTCTCATATTTAAAAAAAAACACAAAACCTTGTAGCATGATTATCTTAATATTAGCTGCATGCACTTAAAAGTTCATTTTAGTGCAATGTTTATGCTATGTCATTTACTGTACCTGAGTATAGCTCACTGTCATGCTGCATGTTAATAAAAAGATACAAGACAAAGAATGTTAGCTTTAGAAAGTGTTAAGAAAACAATCTGTGTGCTGTTTTATATATTATGCTGCTCTAAGCAGAGTGACGTATGCCTAGCAATCAGTAATAACACTTGTAACATTCTAAGGAACTGTTAATCCCCATTTGATAGTTTAGTGGATACAATCCAGTCAAAGTTAAACCCTTTAAGCACTATTAATCTTAAAGCATATGCTGAACTCCTTGTCAGTAGGTCACTCAGACTAATAAGTGTTCAATATTGTTGGATATTATATTACACATAAATGTGTTTTTGATCTGGATTATATTTCTCAAAATCTGTTGTCTTTCTTTTGCAGCAGTTCATCAGTAGAGAAAGACATTTTATTTATTTTTTACAGAAGCTCTCTTGTTAGGAAACCCCCTCTCCCCTACCCCTTTATTTTTTATTTTGGCACCAAATCTGCTCATCTTCAGCAGGTGAAATACATCTTTGTTTTTTGGTTGGTATCTTGGGTTCTCAGGTGGCTTTTAACAATATATTATTTAAATGCCTGGAATATATTGCTACAGATATTGCTGCAACTGAATGTGTTGCTGTTTTACATCTTTTATTTTACTGTTTTAAAGAGCAAGACTTGACAGGACTAACAAAAATAAGTAACATTGAGTTCAGTGTTACATACCCCAAAATAATGTGTACATTACTACAACTTTACTTTCATTGTTAAAGGGTCTATATTGTGTTGTAAAGCCCTTCTTTTAGACTTTATAAGACAGAATTAAGATGTTTTGAATGCATTCTGATTCTGTACATATTTCATTTCCAATAGGGGCTCACTAGGTCCAGTGGATTTGCTACCCTTCTAGTTAATATGCTTCAGCTATAGCTTTACATCCTTATGCATAAGATTTGGGCCTCAGTTATACAATTCCCTTTTTAAAAATTGAAAATGCAGTATGTCCTCTTTAAAAACACATAATTCAGATAATATACTATATATAGGCCCTACAAAATTAAATGTAATTATAATACACACTTAGAATGGCACAAAGCTTCATCTCAGAATGGCACGATACCATCTGTTCTACAAAAATAGATATTCATAGAAACCTGACATATTTTCCTTTTTACTAAAAACATTTTCAAAACACTATATGAGCAAAATGATAATTTGGAATAAGATTCAGAAACTCTATAGTACTTACGCCGTTTTTGAGAAACTGCTTGCAAACAGGCTGTTACAATATCACAGTTCTTCTGCACTTTATGCAAAAGCCTGTCCTTTTGTTTCAGAAGACGAAGTAGCTTTGCAGACTGAACAAAAATTCTGTAATTCAGCTCTCGTATTATATTCGTCAATCCATTGATATCTATTCACAGAAAAAATAAAATTAGCTCAATGACTGATACCTGAAATTTAAGAACAGATTTCTTCCCCTGATAATAACTGTGATACTCTTCAAAAGATCCTTATTTTATGCATGCATATCATTAGGGAAGCTTCCTTATAAGTTCAAAGCAGCCCATAATGTATCACACCTAAGATAAGGATGGGAAACATGTGGCCCCCCAGATGTTGTTGGGATCCAACTCCCATCAATCCTGGCTACCACAGACAATACTCAGAGATAATGGGAACTCTCCTCCAACCTCTGGAGAGCTACATGCCTTTTTAATTCACAACCTAGTGGTGAAAAAGTAAGTACGCTCTTGAGGTGTTAACTCTGAGGTCAATACACGGAACCCCTAAATGGTACATATATCCTATGGGTTGTACAACCACACCGTCAAATACAGGAAACTCAGTGGCCATACTGGATGCTGCAATATGGGGGGGGGGTGTAACCCAGAAAACAAATTTCCCCATTTTTCCTGGTGTCCAGGACTGCCAGCTCAGCTTCTAAGATTGCTTTGCTTTTCTACAGGTCACAACTGAGATTTAAGAATTTAACATTCTTCAGTAGAGATGGGCACGAACCAGAAAACTGGCGGTTCCTGATGGTTTGTGGTTAGCCACAAACCACCGCAAACTCCTGGAAAAATGAAGTGGCCTATGGTTTATTTTTTCTGGTTCGTGCCAGGGGGGCTACCTGCTCCTGCCCTCCGCCTGCCCTCTGCCCTCCAGCTGTGGCCTTCTCACTGCCCCCGTTGCTTCCCTACCTGCTCTCTCCTGCCTCTGTTGCTGAGCTGGGCCCATTGCCTCTGAGGGTGGTGGCAGCAGCAGAGGAGGAGGTGGAGCAGGCAGTGAAGGAAGAGGTGGCAGGAGCAGGTAGGCAGGCAATTTGGGGGGAGCGACCCATTATGCTGAAGCAAAATGATGCACTGCGGGGGGAAAGGTTTGGGGCTTTGTTTCGCTTTGGCAAAACAGGATCCACCAACTGGGTCAAGAACCAAACCAGAACCAGCTTGGTTCATTGTTTTTTCTAGTTTATGGTTCAGTTTGTGCCTATCTCTGTTCTTTCAAGCATTAGAAGTTTATTCTTAACATTTTCCTCATGTGCAATTGAAGCATTTGACTCGGCTCACCAGAAGCTTTAGAGAAGGTTTCAAAGTCTAATGAGAGACTATGTTTAACAAAAAGCAAGCTATCCAACATATTTGAACAAAGCTACAGAAATCTGCTTCACAGTAGAGTTGCCCTTGAAGCTATTCATTTTACTTCTGTGCATCTATGAGGCACCCTCTAGTAGACAACAGGCATGATTAGAAGCCAACATTGAATTTAACAGCTTCTTCCTCTTTAAATAAAACAAAGAGAATGGTTATAACTGGAGTTGCAGCTGCATTTAAAGTGCTGCACAAGCACAGACTCTTTGACTGTAACCTCTTTCAGGATTTTGGGAACAAGGTGACAGCAGCACAGACAGAAAGGCAACAGGAAAAAGCAGGCAAGAGGACTTCAACAGAGATGTTATGTGCAGCCCGAGGGAGGGATTGGTATTATGGCACTAACAGACCTAACCAAAATATTCCTTTAAAATTTCAGTGTAATGCTAAGTTCTAATTTAATAGGGCCCAAAGAGTAAAATTGGGAAAACTTTTAATTAATTTTTAAGCTGTGTTGTATATCAGTTGAGAGGGCTACACAGGCTCGCAGGCTTTTAAATTCATTGCAACTGAGATTTTGTCCTGCTCATGTGTCCTCATACTGGCCACTTGCCACTACTGCTGTGGTGTCAGTTTAATATTTCTTTTATTTTTTGTCTCTCAAACTGACACATTGTTATCTCAGTATAACAGATGGGGGGAAACAGGTTTCCTGCAGCCCATGAAATCCAGACAGAGGGTATTTTTTCACTAAATGTTATAAGTGGACAGCAACCATCTCCCCTTGAAATCTAAGCGAACACACAGGGGGGCGGGGGGAGACAGGCAGCCATCCCTGGCAAGAGGGAAGACAGGAGAAATTGAGGAGACGTTTTACAAAGCATTGCAGCTTCTAGGCTTGTGAAGGAGGGAGCACGTTCCCCCTGACACTTGCTGTATGCTTTTGAATGTCTTTCAGAATGCTATATTGCTATCTTAATATTACAAACAGAAAAAAATAAGCAGTTTGGACTTCAGGCAAAACAGATGCCTGGGAACTCACAAAGAGGGAACTGACATCAGGGGCTGTTGAGAGGGAGGCACACCAGTGAGCAATGGGAGTCACAAAACTTACAGACACAATTTACACTGACAGAGGCATTCTTATATGCCAAAATAATTCAAACTAATCAGTTTCACCAGCAAGTTGAAATAAATAATCCTTTTGCCACCCAGTAAAATACCTTGCTTTCTGATCAAAAGATACACTTCCTGGGGGGGGGGGCAATCTTTTAAAAACTCAATTTAAAACATCATATATCTGATTCAAATATGGTTTGTCTTCCTAGTGTACTGTTGTCTTATTGAGCTATACATTAATAGAAAAAAACCCATTGTCTCTGCAATGGTCCCAACAAAGCTAAGCAATTTTCTGAAAAGGACTTCATTAATTCTTCTTAAGGAGTTAGAACAGCACAACAGGAGATTTGCCTGCCTTGTTAGAAGCATTTACACACTATTCTCATTTTAAACAAAAAAGATGGCTGCGAGTGCAACAATCAAACTCAAAACATAGAGAGGTACAGTAATTCATCCCTGTTACTACTTAATCAGACACTATCCAAATAGGGAGACAGGATATGTTTTTCTTAACCTATCACCCTTTAACTGCTATTGTTAAGGAAATGGCTCAAAGGAAATGATCCTTCCCTATAAAATTCACAGGAATGGGGAACATGTGGCCCTCTAAATGGAGTTGTACTCCAATTCCTATGGGGTTTAGAAAATGTTTTGGAAAGATGCCAGTGGTGATCCAACATTTTGTGGACCACAGATTTCCAAGCCTACACCCAGATTCTTAATATGTTATATGCTTTAACAGTCTGAGGGGTTTCAAGTTAAGTGAGATATTTAAGGGGTGGACACCCAGATTCTTAATATATGCTTTACCAGCCTGAGGGGTTTCAAGTTATGTGAGATATTTAAGGGGTGGTTTATCATTGCCACTCCCTGGTGAGTTTCCATGGGGAAGCAGGGATATAAACCAAAGTTTCCTGAGTCCTAGTCTGGCACGCTGTCCACTCCACTGGCTCTCCTACATTCTTACACCAGCAGAAATTTATATTAGCACTTTCTCTTGAAGCTGTCATGTAAAGCAACAGATGAATGCCCCAACATTTTTATATGAGGAAAATGTTATTCCTCCTGCCCAGTTCTAAAAAGAAACATTCACATGCCAGGGAAGAAGACACTTGGAATATATTTCCAAGCTATACCGGCTCAAATCTTCCCAAACTATTTGATAAAAGCACTTTGCAATTACTTTCTAGTAACTCTACATTTGTTGCTGATTATGTTCCATTATGGGAGGAAAGCGATGACAAACCTTGACAGCATCTTAAAAAGCAGAGACATCACCTTGCCAACAAAAGTCTGCATAGTCAAAGCTATGGTTTTTCCTGTAGTGATGTATGGAAGTGAGAGCTGAACCATAAAGAAAGCTGACCGCCAAAGAATTGATGCTTTTGAATTGTGGTGCTGGAGGAGCCTCTTGAGAGTCCCCTGGACTGCAAGGAGAACAAACCTATCCATTCTGAAGGAAATCAACCCTGAGTGCTCACTGGAAGGACAGATCCTGAAGCTGAGGCTCCAATACTTTGGGCATCTCATGAGAAAACTCCTTAGAAAAGATCTTGATGTTGGGAAAGTGTGAAGGCAAGAGAAGGGGACAACAGAGGATGAGATGGTTGGACAGTGTCATCGAAGCAACCAACATGAATTTGACCAAACTCCAGGAGGTAGTGGAAGACAGAAGGGCCTGGCGTGCTCTGGTCCATGGGGTCACGAAGAGTCTGACATGACTGAACGACTAAACAACGACGATGTTCCATTAATTTTGGTGTCAAAGAAAGATTTCTTCCCCACAACTATCAAATCTTCTCAGTGTTAGACTCTTCGGGTTTTCCCCCATGGTTTGACACCTCAGTTATAAAAAATATAGATATGAACAGAGATAGTGGATGTATAAGGAGAGAAAGGCATGGGCAAAGTTATTTACACCATTAGCTCATCCTCTCCAGTAAATACCTATTTAGAACCTGTAGGAAGATCAAGATAAGATTGCCCTTTCTAGTAAATATTTGCTCAGCACCAGGAAATTGACAGATTAGAGGACTGGTAGTTTACACTTTGAAGAATCTAAAATGGTAACAGCAAGATAAGGTCACACTCTTATTCCATGTCTTTCTTTATTGATTACAAACGTTATAGTCAGCATCTGTTGAATGTCAACAGATAAATGTGGTGGAGCTGATGTTGCTTTACGACAAATCCAAACCCCCAAACAGCATGCCTGAACACCACTATTCCAGTAAAAATAATAATGAACAAGAAAGAGGAAATATTTGAGGTGGAGCATATTTTTTTTCATCTAGCTTGCTGCCTTCCTCCCTTAAAGGCAGGTTTACAAAATGTGAGTCCTTCCTATTACTCAGAAAAGACAAGCAGGATATAACAAATGGCATTCAGAGAGCTAAAAGAAAAAGTAATGGTTTGTGGAAAACCGGATTTCCTCATGGGATATGACAAGTAAGAGAAAAAGAAGAGGGTATAAAAAAAAACAAAATATTTCTCTTCAACAGGAAACCTTTTGATTTGAGAGGTTTTTTTGCCGGGGAGAGAAGAGGAATGGCATGCAGAAGCAAGAGAAGCCAAGCCTAGCATAACTCAAACCTCCCCAATATACGAACAATAAAGAACAAAATTGTCCATGAAACTGTGCACAAAATGTTTCGTCCAAAACTGAGAAACAACTGCTTATCTATATATTTAAGACTGGGCAACTTCCCGGATCAGGGAAAGCTGCTAGAGAAGAAAAGCATCCTTCTTAGCTTGCAATGGGATTTTGCTAGCTTCTTTGTCCTGCTATGTATCCGCCAGAAAATCAACAAGTATGGCATCATTTAATAAAGAGACAGGGGAGCAGAATACTCCACCTGTTGAGTTCCTGCCCACCCGAGGTGCAGACGCCCCAGCAGGAACGAGGGAGCCGAGGTAAGCCCACCACCACCTTGCCGGCGGTGAGCTGACGGGACGACCAAGACAGGCCGGGACGGGCGGTGGGGACGAGAGGCGTGGCCGGGCTCCTCGGGCTCCCTTACCTTTCTGGGCCAGGTACTTCCTCTGGTGCCGCCGGCCCGGTCTCCGCTGCAACTCTTGCAGGCAGCGCGACTCGGCGCTGCTGCCCCGGCCCCCCGGGAAGGCGTCCGAGCCGTCCGACGCCTCGGTGGAGCTGTCCCAGCTGTCGCGGTGGCGGCCGCGCCCCGCGCTGTAGAGTTCGGTGAGAAGGCCGCTCACGAGGGAGGACGCGCGGCTGGTCCGCTGGCTCCGGCCGGAGGCTGCCTCCTCTTCCCCTTCTTCTTCTTCTTCTTCCTCCTCCGCCAGGCTGTCCGCGCTGCTGCCCACCCGGCCCCGGGCGGGCTCGCCTACGCGGCTGCGCCTGCCTCCTCCTCCAGGCGGCTCTTCGTCGTCGGCCAGGTTGACTTCCGCGAGTTCCATCTTGCGCGCGCCTCGTTGCGCGGAGCCGGCTACATTCTTTGCGCTCTGACCGCTGCCATGTGCGTGAGAACGGCTGGGCCAGAGTTCCGGGTTCGGCCCATTATTTCCGAAAAGGGGTGGGAGGAGGAGGAGGAGATGGTGGGCAAGGGAGGTTCTTGCCCCTTTACGAGGCTCAGCACCTGCCAAGTGTCACCTCCCTCCCTGTTCTCCTCATAATAGAGCGCTCCACTCGGTTACGCTCTGCGAGCGATGATTGCCACCTTCCCCTACAGCAGGTAGTGGCCTCTAGGCAACCCTACACCTGCTGCTCTCAGCCAATCAGGGCTCCACGAGTCACCACATTTTGACAAATTGCTAACCTCAAAGAAAGCTCCCGTTTGAAACGGTGTTGTAAACTTTAGGAGCAATGTATTCTCAAAGGCTTGCACCGGGATCTGATGGTTGTTGTGGGTTTTTACAGCTCTTTGGCTGTGTTCTGAAGGTTGTTCTTCAGAGGACAGGAGTCAGAACTCTTGTCTGTGCTCTGGTGCAGTTTGTTTGGATAGTTGAGTATTTATAGCTGTGGGATCAGCTTTTGTCCTTTTCAGGAGATGGGTGATTATGGTGATCAGTGTTTTTGTTGTTGTTGTGGGTGTGTTGTTGTGATAAGGGGGAGATTATCTGTCACTGTGATTGATCGGTGTTGTTAGCTGGTCTTTGTGTGCAGTGATCACCAGTCCTTGTGGCTTGGTAGAGTTCGTTGATGGTTTGCAGCTATATTTTTCAGTGCTGGGAGCCAGGCTTTGAAGAGTTTTAAACTTTCTTCTTTTTTGTTGAAGTTCTGCTGGTGTTTGTGGATTTCAGTGGCTTCCCTGTGCAGCCTAACATAATGATTGCTGGTGTTGTCCAGTACTTCTGTCTTTTGAAATAGAATTTCATGTCCAGCTTGTTTTAGGGCATGTTCAGCTACTGCTGATTTTTCTGGTTGTTTTAGTCTACAGTGTCTTTCATGTTCTTTGATTCTGGTGTGGATGCTGCATTTTGTGGTTACAATATATACCTGGCCACAACTGCAAGGGATCCAGTATACTCCTGCAGTGAGGGGGTCCCTTTTGTCCTTTGCTGGCCATAACATTTGTTATATTTTTGTGGTGGGCTTGAATGCTATTTGTATATTGTGTTTTTTCAAAAGTTTCCCCATGTAGTCTGTGACCCTGTCTTATTTTCGGGGAAACATGGTACTTTATTTGTGGGTGGCTGTTTTTCCTCTTCAGTTTGGTGTTGTTTTCTTGGTTTGATGGCTCATTTGATTTCATTTTTGGAGCAGCCATTTGCCTGTAGGGCCCAATTCAGATAGTTGAGTTCAGCGCTGAGAAATTGAGCTTCACAGTTCCGATTTGCACGGTCTACCAGTGTTTTCATTATGCCTCTTTTTTGCTGTGGGTGGTGGTTGGAGTTTTTGTATAGGTACCAGTCTGTGTGGCTGGGTTTTCTGTAGACCTTGTGTCTCAATAGGTGGTCAGTTTTGCGTAGGGCCATGACATTTAAGAAAGTGACTTGACCCTCTATTTCTTTTTCCATGGTGAATTGTATATTTGGGTGGATGCTGTTGAGATGGTTTCGAAATTCTTCCAGTTTTTCTTCACCGTGGTTCCAAATTGTGTCACCTACATATCGGAACCAGATTGTGGGTGCGAAGTGTCACCCACATATCGGAACCAGATTGTGGGTGCGAAGGGTGCCGAAGCCAGGGCCTGTTTTTCAAAATGTTCCATGTAGAAATTTGCTGTAACGGGCTGAGGGGGCTCCCCATGGTCACTCCATCTGTCTGTTCATAGAACTTGTTATCCTACTGAAAATACTGGGTCGTTAGGCAGTGTTGGAAAAGGGCCTTGATGTCTTCTGATGCATTGGAGCAGCTATTCTCAATGGGAGCCATATGACCCCCTGGCAGCCTCCTGGGACATTTGAAGAGGACCACAGACTGGAAGCAATTATTCACACACCACCTTATAAGTTCATTCTATGACTTGTACAATCCTGTGGCTGCATATATTTCTTTCATACTGTGTGACAGAGTAGCGGTAGTACAGGTATACACCAGGGGGTGATAACCAAAAGATCTTCCCTGAGATTATGAAGACGCCAAGCACCAGAGTAGTATTGATAGCAGATGTTGTATTATTTACAGAATATACAGGTGTATTTACAGCTAAGTCTTTGTTCTCAGTTCCAAAGTAATGCACAACAGTTTCCGCAGAGTTTAGTGCATATATCAGAGTGAATGTCCAGTAAATAAGTTCAGTAGTCATATACCATACGTTCCGTCCAAGCAGCCAGAGTTCCTCTTCAATTCCAAGCACGTAGACACGGCTTCCTCCAGGATTCTCCAGCACAGGAACATGACAACTCTTCTCCATGAACATACCAACGAGCATCACCACAACAACGCACAGATTGTGTGTGCTTGTTCTGCTAGTTTTATCCCAGTATCGACCAATCCTATGATTGCATTCACTGCTGTAAAAGTCACCTCAGCTGTGTATATTCAATCTTTGCTTCTCTTTTACAATACTGATCCTGTCAATACTTATTGTCATGTACAAACTTGATTTAACAATTCTATCAGGTTTAGCCCAAACCTGTCACTGTGTTTATGACCTTGGCCAAAATAAGGTCGTGAATAGCTAGGTGCACTGCAGCACCCAATCCCCCCAAAGTGCGAATAAAGGGAGGAAAGAACAGGAGAAAAAGCCCTTGTTACAGCTTAAGGCAGTTCTTTTGAACTGTGCATCCTACAGCCAATTCAATAGAGTGGACTTTTCTGCTGTTTGCACTTTGCTGTGCAGCCACTTAAAACAAACAGATTCTAATTCCTCAGTGCAGCTTCACAGTGAGTGATTGCAAGTGAATTCTCATTTCCCTCACTGTGTAGCTGCACCTTACTGTGTCAAATTACTGCTTGTCAACTATTGCTTAAACTGCTATCTTCCTTGGAGTAATATAAATCAGGCAAAATGTGCTTCTACCCCACTGTCAAATACTGTAAGTACAGTAATATCTGCTTCATTGTGATGTTTCTGCCTCCTTAAAAATACAAACCACATAAATAACAAATTTGAAATCCTATGTATTTTCACAAAGCAGATGTTCTGCTCCCTGGGAAACTGTTGAGATAATATTTATACTTGATATCAATAGAAAAGCTCTTTAAGGTTGTGTGCACAGATGATCAAATCTCAGTTTTTTTATTTCTGTTTTATTTCCAATGTGCAGAATGAGGTCATTGACTGAGGGCACATCTTCAGAGGCTTAGACTGAACAGTTTAGAGTAGGGCTTATAAAGCTGAACTTGGGAATCTACGTGTCTCCAGTCGTTGAACTAAAATTCCTGATCACAGTTTATGCTGGCTGAAACTTGTAGAAACTGTAATGTAGTATCTGAAGAGCCAGAGATTCCCTAGCCCACAGTCTGCCAGTGGTTGGAAGTAAACATTCCATTTGGCATGGCAGAAAAATTATAGCATCAAGCAGTGAAACGGCAAAAACAAATAAGGATCAAGAAACCAGAAATGAACTCTACCTTCTGCACGGACTGACCCTGCTCTCTGGATCTCAATCCTATTTTGGAACGAAAAGCCCAGACAGCAGATGGTATGGCAAGGCACTTGAGTGTCTTCAAACCCCTCTGTGCAGTTGCACAGAACATGCAAAGGACTGGACAAGAAAATGTCAAGAGCAGAAGTTGGAGTTTCCAAGCAGAAATCATCATTGGAAATTACATGGAGGCCCACTGGCTGTGGAGATAATCATTCTACTTCTGTGACAACATGGCAGCCCTAAATGCACCCAAAAGATAAGTGTTTGCAGCAGTTTTTTAAATTGTACCAGTCCTGGTTTATATAGTCCTGTTTTAATTATATATTCATTAAATACATTATTAAAACAGGACTATGTAAAAGTCACAAGTAAGCCAGGCTTAGCACAGAGCTGATTAAAATCGGCATATTGCTCAAGATTACAGGATCAGATTATGACAGGTAGTGACCTGGGTATCTACGCTTAACTGCAAGTAATTTATTTATTTAAAATATTGTTACCCCACCTTTGTCCTAAAAAAGGATGCAGGGTGGAATATATAATTTTAATATATAACACCTGAAAGTTAAAAACAGTAAGTTACACAAATATTTTAAAAGAATTAAATAAACTCTATATAGTATTTTAAACATTAGATAAAAACATTACTAAAACATTTTTAAAAACAAAAAAACGAAAGACAGCCAGTCACTAAGGGAAATCCTGCCTGAATAGAAAGGTCTTCACCTGATTGAGAAAGGAAGCAAAGATGGGGCCAGCCTTTAAGTGGGCACAAGTCCCACTTACTTCAGTATAAGTATTGATACCAAATAAATGATCAAATTGATGCCCACATTTTTGCATTATCTTATATACAACTATCTCACTCAATTGCTGCTTGATTATGGTTGTTCTATACTCAGGGTAAAACATCTGACCATTAAATTTTTTGACAACACCAACTACCCAAGCCCACACATTATTATAATATCATATTTAATCATTTCACATGATTGATATTTGTTTTGTACAATTTTTCTTATACTCAGAGCATAAGAAAAATTGACAACCGACACTTCAATAATATACAAAGGCAAAAGCAATGCAGAAAGAAAAGGGGATGGGATGGAAATAAATTAAAACAATGTAGCATTGAGCCCTTTTCCTGTTTTTCAGGGATGTGTGACACCTTCCATTACTTTTCCACTTCATGCAGGATAGTGATTGGTTTTGTAAACAGGACATCCCTATTAACAACTTGTGGCCTGGCCAGACAGGTGCAATGTTGAGGAACTTGTGTCCTCCAGATGTTACACCACAACTCCAATCAGCCTGTCCAGGATAGCCAATGGTGAGGAATGATGGGAGTTGTGGTTAAACATTTGGGGAGCTACAGTGTCCCGTCTTCACACTTAAGAAAGCAAACCACCTGTAATGCGGTATTTCCAACCTCTCAGCGTTTGATGGCATATCATCTATTTTTTAGGTTGCATCTTCGGTGTAGGAGTATTGGAAGGAGTGCGTTTAATTTTTGGACTGTGCTGTACCTCTATGCTTAGGTGAATCTATATTATACTCCACCTTCTCAACTAAAACCTTTGGTCTATGGAATTTATCAAGGCTCCCCCGTGGGTTTTTGCTTTGTGTTCCTGAACTGCTAGACAAAACACACGCTGCGTTTCCTCGGAGGAACCTCCTCTTGTAACTTCACCTAATTCTAAGGCTGAGGCGCAAAATGAAATACCGTACTACGCGCGCGCGCACGTCTTTGAGGCTGCCGCCAAGAGGCGCCCTTGCAAGCAAGCAAGCAAGGAAGGGAGAGGAGAGGAGAGGCCGCCGCTGTGGCAACAGCAATCAGCTGTGCGAGCGACGTGAGCCGGCGAGGGACTCGAAGAAGGGTGGAAAGCGGGCGGGGCTCGCAGCCCCAATCCAGCCGATGCGGAAGCCGCCGTCGGTCTCCCGGTCATGTGACGCTGCCTGCGCCCCTCCCCCCTCCCTCCCTCCGCCAAACAAAGAGGCGGAGAGGGGGCAGCGAAGGGAGGCGTGCGCGTCGGCTTCTCGTGACTGTTCCGCTTCGGTCTCCCTCCTTCGCTCGCCGCCACCTGGAAGTCTCGCTCCGGTGGCAAGGATGGCGCCGGCCTCCGCCGCTTCTTTCGCCCAGCCTTTGTTGCTGCTGTTGGCCCTTGGTTCCAGTGCCTGGGTCGGCGCCAGTTGGAAGGAGGCGCGGAAGCCCAACGTGGTCCTCATCCTCACCGACGACCAGGACACCTACCTGGGCGGAATGGTAATTGTGCGCCCGGGCGAGGGACGCGCGCTGGCGGCGGCGGCGGCGGGGATGTCGAGGGTCGGGGTGGCAAAGGGAGCGGGCTGAGCCGTGCAGGGTGGGGATGGGGAGCGGAGGAGCAGAAAAAGCCCCGTCACTGCCGGCGGTGGAGAAGCAGAACCGCTCCAAGGGCCTCAGGCGATGCCCGCCTTGTCTATGCCTCTGTGGAGGGGCACCGCGTCCTGATGAAGCCTTCCATCCTATGAGCTTGAGCTCGAAATCCTGAAGGAGTGCAAGATGACACCGACGCTTGTCTGGCTCTTCCCTGGGTTCTGGCAGGTTATGGGGGAGCCAGATTTCAACTGTTTCCCCCACTCTGATAATCCTTTTCTTCATTTTTCTGGGAGGAAAAAAGCTTCCCGTGTGAAACATTTTTCTTCTTATTTGAACATATGTTATCTGAGGGTTGAGAGGGCAGTGGATTCAACAGAAACGTGCCTTCATCCTCCCTGCAACCAGCACACCTCTTTCCCCCCTCCCTTTTTTTTAAAAGGAGGTCTCCTCAGAAGAAAACGGTGCAGTACCTACCACTCTTTGCAAGCTAGAATATCATGGCAGGTGTAAGAAAGGGATTACTGACTCATCCTTTGGCCCTGGTTAAAAAAGTAATTTTGTGCATGCTGCTTACTTGGGAATACCCATTTAACAAAGTGGGGCATAGTTCATCAGCATAAGCATGCATTGATAGGATTGTGCTATAGAGGATTGGGGGTGGGGGAGGGCATTGCTCAAGTCAATTCCATATCGCAGTCTTCTGAGTTTGAGAATAATTAATTTAGGTGTGAACAGAAATAAAACTTGGCTTTTTTCATCCATTCTAAGGTTTAACTCTACAAGGTCTTCCTTCTGCAAGTCTGGTGGTCTGTGCACAAGATTATTGTAGCAGCATAGGTCCTAACCTAAGATAAAGTATTTGCATTAGGCAATTGATTTGGAGTCGTTTTTCTTTAGATGGCAGAATTTGTCAGTGTTAACCTGCTCAACAAGTTTGTTATTAAATTAACAAGATGTTTTACTACAGTACTCATGTTTGTCAGAAAGATCCAGCAAAAACACGGCTTCTTACAAGGCTGGTAAGGATGTAACTGGCTTTCTTCTAGCTTTCTGTCAGACATAGTCTGAAAAAGTGCCAGTACAAAGAGAGATAGAAAGAGGGATTTCCTGTCAGCTGGGAGGCTTTATACTAGCGGGTCTGCCTGCTGGGCATTCCGGGAATCAAGTAGTTATTATTAACTAACTGGTCTGCTTCAACATACTTTTTTTTTACGTGGTCCACCTTATAACTAGCCTTTGAACTGCAGAGTTGGAAGTGACCCTATGGATGGATCATCAAGTCCAGTCCCTCTCAAGGCGGCACAGTGGGAAATTGAATTCCCAACCTCTGGCTCCGCAACCAGAGATCTAAGCCACTGAGCTATCCTTCGTTGTGTAGATGTCTTTTCTGGAGAATCTAGCAAAAGTAATGTTCAGATATTGTTCAGTATAGATATTATCATTTACCACAATTGCAGCTGTAGAAATAAGTGCATTTTAATACATTTTTAAAGGAAAACCTGTGTACGCTTGCCTGGGAGTAAGAGTATTTGAACTAGTGTAACCTCTGCATAGTGTTGCATAGCATGGTGAAGGTGGGATTTCCATCAAAAATCGGGAAGTTTAATTCTTAAGAACAGATGTTTGACTTAAGTAAAATAGTCATTTGTTTGTTTCAGTAAAGCAATTTTTTATTGGTTGTTTTCATAAATACAGGTTGAAAATTATTTTAACATGTGAAGAGATCAATGCTGCTTGTGGGATATTAATGTCAATACAATATTAATACCATGAATTTGTGGTTCTCTGCCTCCTTTTTCTTTAAGACAGAAAACAACTGAGGTTGGAAAAACTGAAATTAAAGAAAGATTAATTGATTTATCGATAGAGAACTCTCAAAATATATGGAATTACAAAAATTTTCCAGTAAAGGAAGAAATACTGTGGTGGAAGTATGTTTTTATTAGGTTTTTAAGCACCAGTTACTTTAAAAAATATCTAAACCATGTTGATTTAGATATAGTGTATTGCTACTCAAAATGTGTACTGGTGGGGAGGGAGAATCATACAGTGTTGTCCTGTTTATGTTTACTTAGAAGTAAGTCCTGCTATGTTTAGTGTGTCTTTCTTCCTAGCAAGTGTAGTTGGGATGGCCATTTTAAGCACCTTAATCTTCCAGAATCATACTACTGTTATAATTTTTCATGCTTGTTACCTTTCTTATAGACACCACTGAAAAAGACTAATGCTCTCATTGCAGAGATGGGGATTACCTTCTCAAATGCAGTAAGTACTAAATTAGGCTTTGTCTGTACTATGGTTTGTAACTCCAAAAACGATTGTTCTGCTAGCAAGTTGGTTATATAGGAAAACAGAAGGGAAAAGAAGAGCTTGTTTAAGTGGCTAACATGAATTGACAAATGTTTTATTGAAGGTGTGCAAGGATAATTCTAAGCACAATTACTGTTCCATTTTTTCCCATCAGACAGCACTTAAGTGAGAAATATGCTCTTCTCTAGATAAGGTTCTGAATTCTTATTACAAAAAGAAATTAATAGAGACAGAGCAAGTTCAGAAAAAGGTCACATATCATTCAGGAGTTAGAACATCTTCCATATGAAGAAGAACCATTAATCTGTTAGGTTGTTGATACTGTACAGACTAAACAACAGAAAGTACAAGGAATAACTGGAGCAGCCACTTTTTGCACTCTGCTGCTTGGCTCTACAATCCCTTATCTGCCTGTTTCTAGCCAGGGGAACAGGGGAGGGGGCAAGGAGCCCAAGAGTCATTAGGGCATGACACATAAGAGCACTTCAAATAGGGCATGGAATACTAGGCTCTCCGATTCCCTTTTCTGTACAAGACTACCTTATCTCTTTATCTTAGAGCCATTCTGTATATATGGGCTAGAGCAGCTATTGTGGTGCTTAGATTGTAGGTGTATACTCAGAAAGGAATTAAGCCCTATTATATAGTCTCTCGAGACTGAAGGATGCCTACATATATATTGATTGAAGGTACACCTCTCACAGGCGCTAGTAGTGTTATAGATCTGTTTGACAATGTAACATAAATGGAGCTTGGATTAAGTGCTGCTTTCTAGAGGCTTCGTCCTGCAAGATAGTTTACAGATGATGGAGTGGAGGATTTCTCCTTGACACCTTCATGTATGGTCTGCAGTGTTTCACAGTATTTGAACTTACCACTTATGCAGTTTAGCATTTATATTAAACTGCTGAGAGGAATTGTTGGAAGTTTCTGAATGCATTGTTATCAGCAGCTGAGTCCAAATGCCAACTGATGTGAGATTGATTAGGATACATGACAGAACACTTTCTGTTTCTGTGCCCAAAATATGTAACACTTTTTGGTGTCTTATTTGGTTCTTCCTCTGATCAAGTGTTGAGAATACTTGAAAATATTTTAAACAGTTGTGTTCTGTTGTATTTTTACTTGTTCCACTATTTTTATTATTTTACAGTTTAGCGTTTGTAGCGTGTCTATAGCATGTATGTGGACATTAGGAAATTGTATACTTGGTGCTTTTGGAAGTGGAGCAGGAAGGTTATGATATAAACCAACAAAATCTTTTAGTCTGGCAAATCTCAATATTTTCACTTCATCTTCCTTTTAGTAAAATGGCAACATTGGTAATTATGTCTGTAATTTTTTTTCATAGCAAATAGTGTAAGAATTTAAGTTCTTTCATGTACTAAAACCTTAATAGGCAGAAAAATCTGGAAGAACATTGGTTCTATTTTAGATATATTGGATGTTTACCATATTTTACTTCTTTTCTCTAGTATGTGCCAAGTGCATTATGCTGTCCCAGTAGAGCCAGCATCTTGACAGGAAAATATCCACACAATCACCATGTTGTCAACAACACTTTGGAGGGAAATTGCAGTAGTAAATCCTGGCAGAAGATTCAGGAACCATATACCTTTCCAGCTATCCTGAAGTCTGTGTGTGGATATCAGACATTCTTTGCTGGAAAATATTTAAATGAGGTATATTTCTATATTTTGTGAGGTGTCTTGTTTGAATTACCTATTGTAAGAAATGCTTCTGTGTATTGACGTATTCCTATAGAACTGAAAGAATGATGGCAAGCTTTGTGTGAAAATGAACATTAGATATGGTATTTCTTTCTAAAGTTTTACACAAAATAGTAGTCAAAATCCAGTTGCCAGTTTATATTTGTGATGTAAGTGTAAAATCATGAGTTTATTCACTGTTCATTTAGAAATTCTCTATGTTCTTGGGAGATTTATATATCCAACAGCTAACATTGCATGGAGCTACCTGAATTTGAGGGGGGGGGACCTTTCTGGTAGTCATTGCCATTGCATAAGAATGTAGCTCAGGCAGAGGTTGAACAGCCTAAAAAGTATATGCAAGTTAGGATCCTACTTGGATTTTAGTTTGAAGTAAGTGAAATTGCATTAATGTGGCAGTGAATTGCAACAAATTAGCAAGAAGCACACAACCAGCACCAACCTCAATTTTAGTGTTGATTTGATTACTGTTTTTAATATATTTGCTTAATTCTTTTAAATATTTGCATACTTACTGGTTTTAGCTTTTAAATATTGTGTTTTTAATTATATAAGCTGCCTTTGGTTCTTTTTAAGGAAAAAGGTGGGATAAAATATTTTAAATAAATAATATATAGAAGGTTTGACTTACTCTGGATCCCAGTAGGATTTTCACCATGGTGGAATAGGACATAGGCAAATTTCAGAAGTTTCACATCCAGGTATGGTCTGATAACCCAGAATAATTAAGGGACAACATTTTATGAAGGTTTTTTTTTAATTTTCATTTTTAATTCAGTTAAATTTTCTTGTAACAAGATGCTATTACAGTACTAAATAGTAGCACTCATAGCATTAACTTATGTGCATTTAACATACCTTTTTGTAACTTGTATGACTAAAGAAGGCAACAGTTGATGTAACAATCTGGGCTGGCATGCATAGCTGGATAGTAAGATACATACACCAAAATGGTAGCATATACCAATAATTATAGCAACATTATTTAAGACCATTAGAAAAATCAAAAACTCTAAAGTAGTCATATCAAGCTGGTACAGCAAACTGGCTCTATAATGTATGAGTTATATAGTTTTATTTGTTCCTTGTCATGGTTGTTATTTTTTAAGGAGGAAATAGAATACAGGAAATGCATATAGTCTCTGCAGTGATTTTTAGAGGCCCCTAAAGACTTCCTTAAGGTGAAAGGAATATCTTGAGAACCTCAGAACCTTGGCAGGGTTGCCTTTCAGAAACTTTAAATTAGCAGTAAAAGGCCATGGCTGACTATATCATCAGCTTTATGTACATGGAGCTGCAGCAACATGATTTTAACCATTGAATATGTGTAACAGTTCTTGCTGACACAAGAGTGAATGTTGGTGATGGAGTTATATTGAACTGCCTTGCTATTTTGAAGTCAGGCTGTTTTAAAGTATACATCTGGAGTCTTTCAGTGCGTGGTGTTTGTGCATCCCTCTGCCATGGCAGGGTTCTGTCATAAATGTAGAAATATGTATAAAAATTCTGTCATAGCCTCGAGGGAATGTATCCCATGGTATGAAGAATGACCACCACGGTCCCACCATGTCATCCATAAAGTGGGAAACGAGAACTGCAAATGGTACCATTGCTAATAATCAAACTCTGTAATAAAATTGATGCAGAAAGGGTTTCACAGTTGTGGGACCTGTGCATTGAGGAACAGCTCGGCTACTTTGTTAAAAATCCTAAATAACATGATCTAATAAATTGTGACTATCTTTTCCTGCAGGAAAACAATACCTTATCTGTGAGTGAAACCAAATGCAAATGTTTCACTTAAATCAAAAAGTGTGGCTCCTAGGCTAAAATACGGTAGCTTTGAAGTCATATCTGAACTCTGTGTTGCAGCCATTCATTTCTCAACCTCAAGTTTTGTTGCTAGTAGAATTGTAATATCAGAGGCTTAATTAATTTTGAGTTCTTTTAATTTCAGTATGGAGCAGAAGATGCGGGGGGAATTGGCCATGTACCGCCTGGATGGAGCTTTTGGTATGCCTTGGTAAGTGTCTTTTTTATTATATTATTTTACTGCTTCTGGCAGCTCTGCACTAGGAATGACCAAACACTGAAAGTCCAATGTGACAATGGATTGACAGAGTTCAGGGGGGAAAAAACTGTCAGAAAAACTGGCTTAGTGTTTGACAGCTTTATATTTATTTCTATTTATATTATTTACATGCTGCTTTTCTCCCAATAGGGACATAGTGGCACTGTGGGTTAAACTGCAGAAGCCTCTGTGCTGCAGGGTCAGAAGACCAGCAGTCGTAAGATCAAATCCACGCGACGGAGTGAGCTCCTGTCGCTTGTCCCAGCTCCTGCCAACTTAGCAGTTCAAAAGCATGTAAAAATGCGAGTAGATAAATAGGTACCACCTCGGTCAGAAGGTAACGGCGTTCCGTGCCTAGTCACGCTGGCCACGTGACCACGGAAACTCTACGGACAAACGCTGGCTCTACGGCTTGGAAAAGGGGATGAGCACAGCGCCCTAGAATTGAACACGACTGGACTAAATGTCAACTGGAACCTTTACCTTTACCTTACTTTTCTCCCAAAAGGGTATACAGCAGATTCCCACATGTACAACCTAATTGGTTCCCTATCACTGTAAAGTAAACTGTTGTAAGAGGAACCTTCAGAGTTGGAATAGAGATTTTACTCAGAGAATTTTCATGTCTTCCAAAGGCTACCTCTTCTCTCTAGCTTGCTCCACTAGCCTCTGTTGCCTTGTCTTTTCTCTTTCCTATCTCTCTTCTCTTAATGTTGTACTTGGTGACATACCTGTATGAGTTTATGGTGCTGGTCAGGTCACAATAGTTGTAAAAGTGAGTTTGGAGTGTGGGTGGGTGGGGCATTAGCTAGTTCTGGATTGGTTATAAAAGGAGGGGAAATGTTGTAAAGTAAATTCTTCTAAGTTTCGTCCTCCCTGTAACAGAAGTAACATGTTTGAATGCACGGTACTCGCTTATAGTATATGTTTATGCTGATAGCATATTTTTCTGTGCATAGACACTAATCAAAAAACTCCAGTCTCAGCCACTGATTTGTAGCGTAGGGAAGATAATTCTGGCCTCATGAAATAAGTAGTGAAAATTTCCTGAGGTGGTATGTGAGGCACATAAAGCTCTGTGTTATGGAATTCCATACTATTATCAAATTTTTATTAATGGATTGTTTAAAGTTTGTCCATTGCAAACTCTACTGCCTTAAATTTGCTTCATTGTAACTGAGAAGCAATACTTGTTGGCAATACCTGTTGACTGTCCCTTGTGCTTAAAAGGTGGCTTTGATTTTATTTTTCCACAGGAAAAAAATTCCAAATATTACAATTACACACTTTCAGTAAATGGTAAAGCACGGAAGCATGGTGAAAACTACAGTGTTGATTATCTCACAGATGTACTGGTAAGATTTTTCTTTTTCAGTAACTGCCTTTTTGTTTTAAGCTAGATCCATTCTTATTTGGTTCTCTGAATACCCTTCTAATTTATTTTTCCCAAGCAAGACAGATAAACTGAATGTCCAAAAAAGTGTCTACTTTTTTCCTTTTATTGAGTAAAACTTGGTTATTCTGACAGGCCTTCCAGAATAGTCCGTCAATGGAATACAGAGTACTTAGCAACTCCCAAGTTATTGATTCTGCCCTCTTGACTGCTTTTATTAAATGTTATTGTTTCTGTTTCTGTGCTGTATTTTTAAGTTTATAATGTTCCTAATTTAAAATGTTTAGGACATGTTTATTCTTTTATATTATTTTGATGTGTATTTTTCTTTTTCTAAGTTATTGCTGTTGACTGTTCTTTACTTTTATTTTTTGAAAACCACCCAGAGTGGCCTTGATAGCCAGATGCATGCTATACACATCAAATAAACAAATAAATAATAATCTGACTAGGCATATGCAAGGAGATATAAATGTGTCAAAGTGCACTCTATTGAATATACAGAAATGTGACTTTAAAAATCTAATACAATGCTATAGGAAAGTGACTATGGAAACACAATGAACTAAATGGGAAATATGCTAACAAAACCTTAAAATCCTGTAACAAAATTAATATGGTACTTCATAATTCAATAAGAAGAGTGCAGCTAAGGCATCGAGACTTAAAAGGAAGGTACCTCAAAATGCCAGATGCAGGGGAGGGATATCAGGAGACAGGTATCTAGTTGTCTCGTGTGCTCCCAGAGGCATCTGTTGGGGCCACTGTGAGATATAGGAAGCTGGACTAGATGGGTCCTTGGCCTGATCCATCAGAGCTCTTCTTATGTTCTTATTACAAAATTATTCATTAAAAAGTGTTACAAAAGCATATTTTCTAAGTTATAAAAGTTTGACTCTCAGTTAAGTCACATCTATGAAAAGTATCTTAAACTATGTTATTAAAAATCTAGACTAGAGCATAAGCAGTTATAAAATCGTATCAGCCTTATGAAAAAATCTTAACCCCACCCCCCAAGCAGAGTTTTCTCCCCTCTAACAGTGTTCTCCTGGCACCCTTTGCTCCTTGCCCTGGCTATAATTTGTGACCATTATTTATACCCTTCTCATCCCTTTATCAGTTATAAACAATCCTTTCTGCAGGGCTTGGAAGTCCAAAAGCTTAAAGATCCGAAAATATTTTTTTAGTTGGAAATTGTCTTATTCTTGCACTTTCTATAATTCCAAGAGGCTTGTAAATCTGTTGAGTTGCCACTATGGTATGTTGTTTAGTCCTAACATTATTGTTATGACTAAAATTTTACCGAGTTTACAATAATAAAGGACAATAGCATAAAAGGTCTAGACACCCAGAAAACTAGAAAGACAGAATATTGCCACAGCATAATATTGTTTCTCCAAGATATTCGAAAACACAAAGAGTGCATACTGTATTATAAGTTTTGTATATTTTATCTGTGTTTATCATTTTCTAAACAAATTCAGAATTATTATGATACAGTGACCTTGTTTGGCTGGAGCTAGCTAATTGTTTTGAAATGATTATAGTAAACTATTGTTCAAGACTCGTTTTAAAAAGCAATTTCATTTTCAGGGCTGCTTCTTCCATACCCCCCTTTATTTTTTAACACTAAGGTTAAGGTTGAATGAAACAAAATAATCCAGGGCATTAAAAATATTTAGGGAGTCAGTGTTAAAGATGATGCATACTGAACTCTAAGCAGTAGATTCAGAATCCTGATGAAAAAATGGTCTTCAGTTGATGTACAGATGTAGAGGTAAAAGAATCTAACATCTTATGAGAGAGATCTCTGTTTACAACTGCTGCAAATAAAAGCCCTTTGTGCATTGCCACTACTGTATCTCAGGGAGAGGATACATTTTGAGAAGTATCAGTAGATTGTAGACTAAGCAGCTCTGTGTGGTGTTCCTCATAAAAATATTTGCTGATGGTAGTCAGTCTAAATGATTTTTTAGGCTGTTGGGATCGAGAAATACTCCTCTTGAATCCTAGATTTCTTTATTATTGTAATTCACACAGCTAGATGTACTGTGTTATTGGGGCATGCACTGTGCACATAAATTATACAGTGGTGCCTCGTTAATCTGTTGCAGGAAAAACATTGCTAAGTGATTTCATCACTAAACGGAATAAAAAAGCCCATAGAAACGTATTAAAACGTTTATATCCCACCTATCTGGTCACCCGACCAGATAGGCGGGATATAAATAAAATGAATAAATAACAATAAATAAATAAATGTGTTCCTATGGGCTTAAAAACTGACCTTATGCGAAGATCCTCCATAGGGGCGGCCATTTTCGGTGCCTCTAAAGTGAGGCAAAACAGCGGACAGCCATTTTGTTTTTCTGGTGGCCATTTTGGAACCGCCGATCAGCTGGCCAAAAATGGGGGCTTTGCAATGATCACTTCCCCGCGATCATCACAAAGCGATTTTTCCCCATAGGGGCCATCGCTAAGCGATCGCTCTGGCGATGGCAAAAACCCCATCGCTAAGCGATTTCATCGCTCAACGGAGCGATCGCTAAGTGAGGCACCACTGTATTAGGACAACACTGCAGATTTGCAAGCTCCGTTTCTCAGAAAGCACCTGCAGACTCTTCAGTTTTAACTTGTGAAGTTGCTGATATAAATGACTTGTTTGCATATTTGTTTTTTTATGGAGCAAAATATATCTGAAGAGCTTATATTGTGTAGAATAGCTATTAATTATCAAAGTTTACAGTGTTGATCTCTCCATTCTTGTTGTCCTTCTTGACATATGGCTGGCACCATATTCTTAATTTATATGTTGGAGGCAGGTGTTCTGTCCCAGGTTAGAGGAGTACAGATTTATTTCTTTGGACGACAACTCCCATTTTGGGGAACTGTAGTCCAGTAGAGTTGGAGCTTGGGATCTGATTCCCTACTATGTCTCCCAGGAAAGAATCAGTCTGTGTAATCTTTGGCAAACTATACAGTCCAAGAGCATCCCTAGCAGAAGGGAATGGTAAGGCACTTCTTTGTAGTATGTATCTTGAAATCCCTAGGAGGAATCGTTGTACGTTTTTATCAACTTGGTAGCATGTCATTATCATTATACAGAAAAAGGAAGAAGTACTATATGCAAAATCCAAAATTATTTTACTTAAGTCTTTGAGTACAGAGAAATATTTGTGATAGTGTATTGTCACTTGTTCATTTAGAAATGGGTAGAGCTGCTTATCAATGACACAAAATTTATGTTCATTTTTGGTGTGTGACGAGTGTATGAGAATGAGCAGAATGAAATACTGAATTCAGTTTGTACATTAAACTATAGTAAATTGAAAGCTTTCTTGGGAAAGAATGGTTGCCATTAGCTTCTCTGCAATGCCCTTGTACAGTGCCAGGGGTCATGGCATGCTTGAAAGAACATATGATAATTTTTGGAGTCTTAACATAACCTAGTTATGTAACATTCTGCATTCATGAGAGAAATAAGTTATAATTGTACTGTATGTTACAATTTTTATCGTCTAAAACAATTGTAAATTGTAAAATAAACTCTAATCTAGCAACTTGACTCTAATACTTTTATTCTGCAGTGTGGCACGTTGATTTAATTTAACTTGCTGCAGTAGTACATTTGCACATGATAGTATCAGAAGTCTGGACATCACAGAATTATGTTAGAAAAGACCCAATTGCTCATTTGTTAATTATTTTCAAGGTAGAAATATCTCACATACCTTGAAAACCCTGTCAAGGGTCACTGTAAATTGGATGTGTCTTGACAGCACATGATATATAATGGAACATGAATAATTAAGAAAATAATAATAAGATTATGCCCTGCTGAAGAGGATGGAGAACTTGTGTTTAAAATTATCTATTATTATTAGAAATAATACAGACAAGGAAAACCAATTGGTTGGAGAAGCAGATTTCTGCATTGGCATTTTTCCTTTGCCTCACCCCTGTTGTCTCTTGCCTATATCATCCCACATATGTTCCAATGTGGTCCCCAAACCTCCAAGGCATTCTGGATGTGTTAAAGGGAAATTCTCTCTTCGAGTATAGCAATGTCCATGTCGCTTTGGGATGCAATCCCAACAATTTTGATATCTTGTGTTCTGTTCTTGTCTTCTGTTCCTGTGTCGATGTTAAATAAGGTAATACACTGGTAGGCAAGAGTAACTGATTGGAATGGAGTACCATAAATGCAAATGTTTGAAATAGTGATAGACCCTTCTCTTCTTGTTGCTGGATGCCACCATGTTATGTCATTTCTAAAAGCTCTGAACTTTAATATGAGAATAAGACAGACATTCCTACAGGGTATTCACTTATATCAAAACGAAACAAGAAAACAAGTTGAAATGAATCAACACTTTAAGTTCTTTGTGTATACGTTATTTGAAAAAAAATATTTTTGAGAAATTTAGCTCTGACTACCTGAACAGCTGTTTAATGTTACAATAAATCACTCTTTAACAATTTAATAAATTTCTGCTTGTAGGCCAATGTCTCACTGGATTTTCTTGAATATAAATCCAACTTTGAGCCATTCTTTATGATGATAGCAACTCCAGCACCACATTCACCTTGGGTAGCTGCTCCTCAGTATATGAAAAGCTTTACAAATGTCAGTGCTCCAAGAAACAGTAATTTCAATATCCATGGAAAGGTATGCATTCTTGATCTATTACAAATTTATTGACTAGTGATTACCAAATATTATTTATGGTCTTGATTATATCTTCTTTCAAAAATCTGATAGCCATGGACATCTATCATGATCTTAAGCATAAAATATGTGTGTGAGAGGATGCAGATGTATAGCAGATGAATGTTTTTATCTGGAGTTTAATTATATTTGTTGTGTTGTCTCTAATCCTGTATAATTAATTAAAATGTTAGGAATGCCATTTTCCCTCCATTGCCATTTTTATGTGTTTTTCTTTCTTCTTCTGAATGTTTCCCCACAATGCATTTAGTCCTTATACTTTATCTGTTTGTGCTTTTTCTGCCGGTGATCAGTTGTTTGAAATGTTCCTCCACCGTCTACTATATGCACAAACCTGAAGGCACAGAATCAGTTGGTGCCCTTCTCTAGTGTTCTCATTCAATACAGGATAGCCTGTGTAAATGTCCTTTATCAGCCTAATGAATGGCTTTGAATAGCACTTTACTGACCTACATTCTTTAACTTTTCTGACTCATGTAGTCCTACATTGACGTGGAAATAAATCCCGTTGAACTTGGCGTGGGCTAGTTTGTAGGTAGACATATTTAAGATTGTTCTGAACATTAATGACGCTAACTGGATCTTCAGAATTTGAAGTTACTGAATCTGTAATTTGAAGATTTTTATGTAGTGGTGCTGAATATTTGAAGATATATTGATGCAAAGGAGAAGTGCCATTCAATCACTATTGAAGAGATGCCTGTCTTGAACAGGCTGAACTTTGTTCTAGTGTGTTTTGTTAAATTGTGATATGGTTTGAGAAGTAGTGACGCACTATGTTGACTCAAGATTAGGCTGGTGCCATTTATCCTGATTCTGCATGAAAATGAAGGCCAGTCAGCTCTCTACATCTTGGCATGACACTAATGATATTTTTTGTTACTTTCAGTGTTTGAATTTCTATGTCCCTTCCCGTTCAAGGCCCCAATTTTGTAATCATAAAAAGGCTGTGATGTTTTCTCTTTCAGCTCCTTGCAGACCAATAATATTTTATGTTCAGCTAACATACTTTGACTTCCTTGAAAGGAACATGATATAAGTTGTTAGAGTTCATAGTCTGGTGCTTGGGTAGGTTCCTTTCTAGAAGAAATTCAGTTGAATTCAAATACTACCTATAGCGACTGGGCAGTAGAAATTGTTCTTTTGTAGGAAATTCTGATGCTTAGCTTTATCTTGGTTTTTTACTTCAGCTCTGTTCAGATAAGAGTTTTAAGTAACTATGATAACTGCTTATGAAAGAAGTGAAATGTGGCAGTTATCTGTTTTTATATAAGAGAATGGTATCTGAAATTAATTTATGGCATCTACAAAACGAAATGAGAAATTGTACAACTCTTTGGTTGCAATCCTGTGCCCACATACATGGGAATAAGCTGCCCTCAACTCGGACAGGTTACTTCTGAGTAGACATGTATAGGATTGCACAGTTACCCACTATCTGGAAGGAAACAGATACATTTATCTGGTGGTAATAATGTTCCACACTAGCAGCTTTAGGAAGTAAAGGTAGCTTGTCACAGGCCTTCCAGTTATGTTTGTTAAACCTCAACTTGTCCAGGGGCAGTATGAATAAAATAGGTTAACAGGATTGTTTGTTACCTTTTTGTGGTCTAAATTGCTGCTTGGCTTAATGGAAGGTGTAGGAGATCACTCTAATGTAAGAAATGCATATTTTGTAGGACAAGCATTGGCTTATCAGGCAAGCAAAGACTCCAATGACAAATTCATCAATACAGTTTCTAGATGATGCTTTCAGGAAAAGGTGAGAAATACATACCATGCTTTAAATCGTTTCTGCAAGAAATCTTATCTGAAAGTAAGCCAGATTCTTTTCAAACATGTAGGCTTTGAAAACGTATTCTATGTCTTTTTTTAGAGTAGTAAAGTAAGTTTCATTGGTACAAAATGAATATACTGTTTGTGAAGAGTAAAGTTTGGCATTACTAAAAAAATCCTCCCAAGTGGCTGCTCTCTTTATACAATAAAAGACCTTAGGTGTTGTGTGGCTGTAGAAAGGGATAAGCCCAGTTTTATTTCTGCTATTCCAGATTCATTAATTGTAGGCTGTCCTGTAGTAAGTAGTGCCAAGGAATTGTATTGGTGCTCAGTTGCATTTCAGGGTTATGAATATTGCAGACCAGAACATGCTCTCATTTCATAACATAACAAATGCCAGCAAGGTTATATTCTTGTGTAACAGTAAGCCAGAACTCCGGAGAATTGTGATTTACCATTCAGAAACAGTACACTAATGTATATTGCCCCATTGCTTCTGTTTATTTTCTCCTGCCAGCAGAAGGAGCTTAGATAACCAGAAAAAAAATTAACCAGGACAAATGTTGTGAGTCCTGGCTTGTCAGTCCTATTTGTGGCATGAATCAGGAACCAACTATAAAACATGGCTTCTGATTTTTGCATATGAAAGGAATGACCACTGAATCCCCAGTTTATATATAATGCTAAGCTTTTGCTTCCTTGTTAGTTTTAGTCACTCACTGTCAGTGTGTATGGGTGGTGTCACCACTTAAGAAAGAATTCAGCAGAATTCCTACTTAACATTCTCTGCAAATGCAGCTGCTCTGAAATGAGATCTACCTGTTGGTTTAACTACTTTGTGAGTATGAAAGGAAATTTCCATTTGAAAAAAATTCTCTCTGAGCAAAATCCTTACCTTGACATCCTTTTCAGAGCAGTTACATGTTTACCCTTAAAGTACTTCAGCTCTGATCTGTTTGTGTGTTGGAGATAAATGAAAATACAGGACATAGGAATCATGGCAGAATTTTCTTTCTTTTTTCTTTTTACTAATTTTTTTCTTGGGTTATCACCACAGTGAGATGGGAAGCAGAAGTTGAGAAAGCTTTTTGCCTTCCCAGGCTGGAGTGGATCTTGAGAATAGCTGACAGGATGCAGATATATGAGAGCAAGATCAGTAGGACTGTGTCCAACAAAACAATGGCACACAGAAGCATAATCTCAATACAGTGGTGCCTCGCAAGAGGAGCACTTCGTTTTACGATGAAATCGCATAACGATGAAGGTTTTGCGATCACAAAAGCGATCGCAAAGCGATGTTTCCTATGGGTTTTTTTCGCTTTGCAATGATTGGTTCCCTGCTTCGCTAACCGATCATCGCAAAATGATGATTTTCACACAGCTGATCGGTGGTTTCAAAATGGCCACCGGGTAAAAAAAATGGCCGCCCGCTGTTTTCTGGGATGTATTCCTCGCTGCACGGGCAGCGAAAATGGCTGTGCTATGGAGGATCTTCGCTGGACGGTGAGTTTCAAGCCCGTAGGAACGCATTCATCGGGTTTTAATGCGTTTCTATGGCCTTTAAAAAATCGCTTTACGATATTTTTGTTCTACAGCGATTTCGCTGGAACGAATTAATATCGTAATTCGAGGCACCACTGTATTAGGTAGGTAGATGTCAGTGCAAGTCAAATTCATCACAGGGGAGAGATCACAGAAGAAATGTCTGATTTCGTTTGGCCCACAGAAGGGCAATCTAAAAATAAGAACATCAATGGTCATCCTGCTGCACACGCTATAGCTAAGAGTTTCATACAAAAAGCCTTGTCCATCAGGGCCTGGTATTGAAGTGGGTAGCATATTGCCACATAGCGATCATAAGCCGTAGCTATGAGCAGGAAACAGTTGTTTGCTCCAAAGCTGAAGTAGCAAAACATCTGCACAACATAGCCAGCAAAGGAAATGGAATGAGCACCTGTAGAAAGAGTCATCAACAACCTGGGAATGGTGATAAATGTCGTACAGGTTTCAGAGACAGAAAAGGCAAAGAGGGGAAAGTACATAGGACTGTGTAGAATCTGGTCAAGCAGAAATTTAAGTAAAGCAAGTAGTTTGTATAGTAGAACTGCATCTCAGATGAACAGAAGAAAAGCCAAACGTTATCATTTAATATATAATTTGTGCTTTGTGGTGTAAAATATATATAGTCCTCACATTTGCATACACATGCTGTTAAATTTATAGCACCAACTTGAAAAATCCTGTTCATATATAGATGGCAGACACTTCTTTCGGTGGATGATCTTGTAGAAAAACTTGTGAAGAGGTTGGAATTTCATGGAGAGCTCAATAATACATACATTTTTTACACATCAGACAATGGTTTTCATACAGGTAAATTGTATTATATATTTTTGTAGTTGAGAACTTACATAGAACTCTGGACATGCTTTTTGGGACAACTTCAGAAAAGTGCTGCTGTGAACAAATGGAAGCAGTGAGGCAGATGTGTGGTCTTGAAAATGATTGATTGATTGTATTTATACCCCGCCTATCTAGTCATTTCGACCACTCTAGGCGGCTTGCAACATAAACACATAACAAGTTTAAGAGAAATTTATAGCAATTAATTAATTAAATGATTCTGCAAGATGGGAAAAATACAAAATAAATCAAATAGAGAAAGGAAGGAAAGAGGTCAGGAATTTAGCATCTAGATGTGGGTGTAGATTGTTCCTTGAAGTCACATCCAGTTTCTTCCTAGAATTTTTAGATGAAGTGGGAATGTCTGAAATTAACACCATGGCAGTGGGGGTATAAAGAATAATGTTTCCAACAAGAATCCAGTCAGAGGAATCATTCAAATAGCTTGTAAGCAGTCATTAAGAAGTAAAGTAGCAAATTATGCTAACTGCAGAATGTTATTGTAATTCACAATTTCTATTGTATATTTCTTAGGTCAGTTTTCTTTGCCTATTGACAAACGGCAGCTTTATGAGTTTGACATTAAAGTTCCATTGCTCGTTCGAGGACCAGGAGTGAAAGCCAACCAGACTAACAAGGTAGAGTTGCACTTGAGAACAGTACCGTATGTTACATTATGGAGTATGGTTTCACAAGTTCTACATTGTGAAAAGTGAGATTAATCGCTTGACCACTTTTATTTGTTGTTGATTTTGTGTGTTGTTTTTACGTTCATACTGCTTATAATTGATTTATAATGCTTACTGTATGTCCATTCCTCTTTATTATTTGACATTGTTTTATTTTAGTTTATGGATGTCAATTATTGTATTTTCTGTTGTGAACTGCTTGGAGTGGCCTTGGTAGCCAGATGGGTGATACAGAAATCAAATAAATAATAAATTAATTAATACTGAGAAGTGAAAGTCTTCTGAGTACACACTGAACATAATTACTCATTCTACTGTGTTAATTCCTACAAATAATGCACAAACTGGATGTTGCAATCATGCAGAATTGAATAGGGAGCAGTTTGTGATTAAAGATGCTAAGTAGCAATTTTGAATCTGCCTTGCAAAGTAACAGAAATGACTAGCCCACCTGTCCACATATCTGTTTCGCTACTTGTGTCTTTTTAAAATATGTTCTAAAGCTCTTTTCCCATTTGTTGGAGATGATTTTTAGTTGTATAGCCTGAATTAAGTGAACTTTGCTGTTTCCTTGATCTGGATATGATGCTGTAACAACTTAATGGGAATGAAAAGTGGATTTCTTATTCCATAAGAACAAGGAAAAGGATGTGTCATTCTTAAGATTACGCAAATGTAAGATTGGGTGATATCTTTTATTGGACCATGAAAAAAATCCATGCCAATTGCAAGCTTTCATGGCAAAATTCCACTTTTATCAGGCTAAGCAGAAGGTAGATGTTTGTGTCAAATCTGCCCAGAGAGCTGGTCTCAGACTTAGGTTTCAAAAGTCCTCTGGAGGGTGTGGTCTCAAACACCATTCCTTGAAGCATGGTTGTAATTTTTACACCCCATTCTTAAGATCTAAAGGTTTGTAAAATACTCTGTGATTGCTTCCCCCCCACACTCATATTGTCTGCTTCAAAACTCTGTATAGCAATAGTATTTTCTGTTTGCTTGTTTTTACAAAACTGAAATATGGACTTGGACTGCCATTAGGCATAGTCCTGCATTATGTTCCTGGAGATGTACCCAGTACATGTCCTCCAGTTTGCTCATAAACAGGAACTGAATCCAGTAACAGTTAAAAGACTGGCACACTGGCTGTAGATGAACAGAACACACTGCAGTAAAAAGGCCAAATGAGATGTGTGTAATGGAAAAAATTGCTGGCTGTGGTTTAGCTATCTGACTGCAGAGCCAGAAGCTGAGAGTTTGATTCCTCACTGTGCCTCCTGTGAGCTGGCCTGTATGGCCGTGGGCAAGCTGCATGTTCCCAGGGCACCCCTAGAAGAAGGGAATGGTAAACCCCTGCTGAGTGTTCTCTACCAAGAAAACCCTTGAAAAGGGATGCCATAAGCCATAATTGACTTGGCAGCTATGATGACGACGACGATTCATGGAAAGGCAGGGGGAGTGGCAAGTGTACTTTCTTGTAAAACAGCTTCCCTGAAATTTGGTGCTATGTATTCCCAGTTCTTCAAAGTGCAGTGGAAGTGTACCTATGTTATCGGAGCAAGCAAAGACTAACAGAGTAGATACTAAAGAATGTTTACATTTCTATTTTCTTTTAGTCATAATTGGAAGAGTCATAATACTTTTGTGTTTCTTGCATTCTAGATGCTTGTGGCAAACATTGATTTGGGTCCTACTATTTTAGATATTGCAGGCTATGATCTAAATAAAACACAGATGGATGGAATGTCATTATTGCCTCTGCTAGTAAGTATATAGATGAGGTTGCTAAGAAGTATTCAGGTGACTGTCCTAAGATTTGTTCCTCAGAGCGAAAAGTGTTATGGATTGTGATACTCTAAACCCTAAATCTCCCCTCCCTTGTTGGCATGTTCACATGGCAAGGACTGTCAGTATTGGTAGAAACAACTTTTGGATAGCCTAGATATGTCGGGGTTCTGTGGGTGGGAAGGCTCCCCAACCCCAGAGTTTCCCCAACCTGACCTAAGCATTATGCAGTTTAGCAAAATTAGAAATGTTTATCTGCAGTTCTGTTTGCAGAAACAGCAAGTAATGAAAATATTAACAAAGTGTCATAGTATTAGAGATTGCAGTGAGTCTAGCTTTCTTCACCTTTACTTTGTTTCTGCGATCATAAGTGAGACTAAAACTGTGCAAGTTTAATGGCTTAAACGTAAACCTTCTTATCTAAGAAGCTTGCATTCCACTTAGACTGCTAAGCTGCAAAAAAACAACACATGCTGTCCATAAACGTCTTCATGTTTGCTTTCTTTTAGAGAGGAGATTCAAATGTGACTTGGAGATCTGATGTTTTGGTTGAATACCAAGGAGAAGGACATAATAGCACTGATCCTACTTGTCCTGCCTTGGGCCCTGGTGTCACGGTATGTACATGCTGATTTTTTGTTTTGATTTGATTCTAATTTTTGGGGGGGGGGTGTTTCACTTTTAAATCCTTATTTTAGGGATTTAGAGAGAACTACTGAGGAGTCTCGTGTGTGTATGTAAATTAGGAGTTGTGATTGAACATAGATTAAGACAAAAGATACAGTTTATATTAAGAAGTATGAAATTAAATCTGTTTAAAACTAAATCAACTCATGGCAGCATTAGTTGCCCCCATGCTATAGAAGGGAACTGTTTTCCATATTCTTCTTCCCAAACACATGGCAGAAGTAGGTGCCAGCCTACTGTTACTCATTTAATAGTTTTGTGGGCTGATAGGTTTTAAGGTTTCATTATTATTCCCTTTCTGTGTTGTACATTGTGTCATGATGCAAATCATTCTAACATGACTTGTTGCTCCCCCAGCATTGTTTTCCAGATTGTGTTTGTGAAGATGCATATAACAATACATACGCCTGTGTAAGGACACTGTCAGCTTCATGGGATCTGCAATATTGTGAATTTGATGATCGGGAGGTAATTCTTCTGTACATTTTTAGTATATTTTATGCCATTCTTCATGTAAAGGTCTGCCAGATATGTTAGAAACAGTTAAGATTTGTTGAAAGTGAAAAGGTATGTTCTAGGATTTGCACATATTATTGCTCAAATTTGACTGTCTTTACAGGTTAATATGGTTTTATTAAATTCCCACCTAATAATGAAGCTATTTCATTTATAGTGTTGAGATGTTTCAGATTTTTGTATTTCATTGTCCCGTAATTTTGGACTTGATTTTTCATTATACAGTGGTGCCTCGCTAGACAGTAACCTCGCATGACAGTTTTTTCGCTAGACATTGACTTTTTGCGATCGCTATAGCGATTCGCAAAACAGTGATTCCTATGGGGGAATTTCGCTGGACAATGTTTGGTCCCTGTTTTGCAAACCGATTTTTGCTAGATGACGATTTTGACAGCTCCCCCTGCGCTTGCAAATCAGGTGTTTTCGGGACCCAAGCTTCGCAAGACAGCAATTTAAACAGCTGATCGGCGGTTCGCGAAGCGGCTTTCCTATGGCCGATCTTCACTAGACAACGACTATTCATCCCCATTGGAACGCATTAAACAGGTTTCAATGCATTCCAATGGGGAAATGCTTTTCGCTAGACAATGATTTCACTAAATAGCTATTTCAGTGGAACGGATTACCATCATCTAGCGAGGCACCACTGTATTATGCAGTTAGCCAAATTAAGTCTGTTTCTCATAAATGAGGACAATTTATTGTTCTAATTTGCCAAATGCTAATACCAGAGCTTGGAGTGTTCAACTCATGGCAGCATTAGTTGCTCCCATGCCGTAGAAGGGAACTGTCGTTCCATATTTTTCTTCCCAAACACGTGGCAGAAGTAGGTGTTAGCCTACTGTTGCTCATTGCAGAAGCTGTTCAGATCTGCTGTTGAACTGGCAGACAGAGAGAACCTAAGCTGCTACATTTTGAACCAAGTTCTTTTTGTCTGGTTCAGCACCACAACTTCTGCAGTAAGATAAGAGACCCTAGTTGCACAAACCCAAGTTTTGTTTTGCATTTTCACATGTCTCAAACTCATGTTTTTAACCAGTAGAACTGCTGTGGTAACTTTTCAAATGTTATTTTTAGAAGATTACATTTAAAAAGCTTTTTGCTGGTTTGAATTCAAAAAGTAACTGATTCAGCATTAACACATTGATTTTAATCGCATTATTTCCTAGCTCCAACTGATGTGTTATTTGAAAGAAAACATGACACTCTTCTGTAGGTTTTAAGGCCCACAGAAATAAAACACTGGTAGTACATTTTAGCTGACAGGTATGAACTTGTTTTTCTAGGACAGCCCTTTATCCTCTTTAGGTTCACACAGCTGGATGCCTCAAGAGCTTAGTGAAATATGCAGTTTTCTTTCACAAGCAGAACCTTGCATCACAGACAAGAAGTTGTGTGAGGAGAAAGAGCATACATTCTCCTCACACTTTCATGACAAGCACTTCCCTGTTTTGTTTCTTGTCCCTCTTCAAGTTCCTAAAATATATCTGTTTTCCAAATCTAATCATCTGTTTATCCCATTCATATAGGAGCAGATAATGCATCTAGTTCTAGTTTAATTATTCCATAATATTGATGCACTTTTTGTGTGTGCAACAATCAGAGCATGGGATTATGTCTAGAAATAGATTGTCAGCAAGTTATTCTTTGTTATCATATACTCTCTACTACCATTGGTATTGATGGAAGACAGCTCTATTTTCTGACTTTAAAGAGCTGTGTATTTTAAAACTAAAAGAAAACTAAAGGCTCTGGTAGGCAGCTCTAGGTTGTACTCCTAATGCACATGGTTGCAATACCCTGAGGGCAATGCTGTTCGTTACAGGCTGCAATGGAAGTGCTAAATACAAGGCTGGGATCCAAATCAAAGTGGAGGTTTCTATAATTGAACTAACGGAAATAGTATTTGATGAAAATCTTGAACTGAGTTTTGAGGGACTTGTGCATTTGTATATTGCAGTAGCACAAATAGTAGAGAATTTATTTTCATGGACAGTGATCTAAGACAATTGGCTTTAAGAGGATTTTGCTGACTTGCCTCTCTCTTTAGAAGCAAAATTAAAATCTCATTAGCAAGATTCTGACTTGATGAACACATGACACTGCCTTCTAGCTATTACAAGGCAAGGCAATACTGCACATCGTATTGTCTGTACTGCCATGATACCAAGGTAAATTCCAATGGCCGAATCCACATTTAGGTGTGTACTGCTGGCATGAAAAATGTGGGCTTTTCTCTACTCTCTTCTCCGTGGCAGCAGTTCGTCCAGTGCCCTGGAAACCAGCCTCTGGCATAGAGGATTGAGAGTAGGCTATAGTACAGGGGAAGAAAGCCCCCAAAATTTGGATGGATACATCTATAACAACAGCTCTGTTCACAGCGTTCTCACCTCCATGGGTGGCCCAGCTTTATCCCTTATAAACCCTGTGGCATTTAAATTGCTTTTTGCATATGAAAAATGTTTGCATTTATTGTTTGTGTGTTCATTTAAATTATGGACACTCTCCTCTTCATAACAACAAACGTGTTGTAGAACAACAAGTTTTTTTCTTTTGTGCAGGTGTTTGTTGAAGTTTACAACCTGACTGCAGATCCACACCAGATTACTAATATTGCTAAAACAATAGACCAAGAAATTTTAGAAAAGATGAACTATCGATTAATGATGTTACAGTCCTGTACTGGAGCAACATGTCGCACGCCAGGAGTTTTTGATCTAGGGTAAATTTGCACTTCTGGTGCATTTTGGTTATTTTCTAGATGAATTAATATTATGCCCATGTTCACTTGAAATTAAAAAGTGCAACCATACAAATGTCCCCCACCCCATCAGGCTTTCTGTTGCATGACCGATCACAAACTGGTTGTGAAATCAGGTGCATAACTGATCGCAGGAAGGACAGCACATTGGAAGGAAATTGCTAAATGATGAATCAACGCTTAAGTAAACCCAGTTGATTCAACAGGTCTACTTTAGTTGAGCTCAGCCATCTAATGTAGGCTCTAAATTCTGTACTGCATTATCTGAGTGCTCATGCAAATTGTAGAAGTTAATAGTTTATGGAAAATTGTAAATCAGACTCAAGATCATTTCTACTCATTTATTTTTCTTTTCGCCACCCCTCCTTCCTTCTAGGTACAAATTTAACCCACATCTGATGTTCAGCAATCATGGAATTCAGATGCGCAGACTTTTTACACGTTCATTGTAGTTGTATCTTCTAGCTGACTGGAGCCAATGTTATCTGTGTCCATTTCTTCAAAGTGACTGCAGAAGATCTGCCTAATCACTCTGACTAAATCAGAAAGACTTGATCAGCTGTCTTTGGAAGAAAATAGCCTCCCCAGCTGGTTGCCTTGTGCACTACATAGGTATTCCTGACAGGATCAGCCAAGTCTCCTCAAATCTCTTTGTCGCATCAATGTGAGAAAAGTTTCATCCTCAAGTTCAGTTTTAATGTTTAACATGAATCTGCATTTCCCTCTTTGGTGTAAATGAAAGACTGAGGCACTTAAAAGCTTACTTACATGGACAGGTAGTATGAGGAAGATTGGGCAGCTGCCTGCTGGATCTGCTGTGTAGACGGGGGCTGTAAACTGTTGTCTCATAATTACAGCCACTGGCTGATAAGCTTTTAAGAGGATGAAGAGTGTACTGCTTGGTTGTGTTCATATTCTGAATCTGGTATAATTAACTTAAACGGGGTAATTGCTATTCATTTTTTCTCAGCTTTTCAAGGTCCAATTGAAAATGCTGATGAGAATTTGTGTGCCTGTTACTGTCAGATGTTACATATGCCTGTTACATACCATCAGCTCTAGTTTTCAGTTCACTAAAGGAGTGGTTTTCCCAAAGATAAATGCTGCATTAGCATCCATTAGCATATTTTCTACCTTGTATAAGAGCAATTCAAAATTATCGTTTATTTGAAAATCTTATTCTCAGAAGTAAATTACTGTTTGACATTGTAACATGGCTATATATTCCAAAAAAAGGGGGATCCAGTGCCTCATTTCTATATGTTGTTCCAGGATAAAAATGAACTGAATTGTTATAAGCCTGCATTAAGAATCTTTTGTGCCAAAGAAGTGTAAGTCACATTTCTTTGGTACACAGACCTGTTGCTTAGTAAAGCATTCTTTCTGTTCCCTATTCTTTGTTATCACTTGCCTGGTTGTGAATATTGTATTAGCCCTTGTTGAACTTTTAGATGTTAACAGTATTTTACCACTTCATAACTTTCAATTTAATACCCATATACCTTGATGTGTTTTTGTATTGTACTGCCTGCCAGACGTTTGCTCGAATACCAGACCAGTCATCTTCACGGCATGGTTACATTTTTGTCAGATTTCAGGAGCAGTCATGTTGAGAATTAAGCCTGAATTTTAGTTAGAGGTAGGGATGTATGGAAGCAGTTTCCTGTAGGTTTAGGCTGTTGTTTTAAGCCAGGTGAACATTTTATAGTACATGCCAGGTGATCTGGCCATTCCACCTCAGAATGTACACAGGATATTGGTTATTGGAAAATACTCAACTGTCAAAGCTTCTTTATAGTCTAGATTTCTTTCTGGCACGTAAATTAGCAAGATCCAGGTCTGTTTATTTTTTACTGTGATGGCACCTTCTGTTAAGTGGTTTTGAGATGCTGCTGTCCTATGAAAAAAACATTACATGCCATCTAGAATACTTGATCTTAGGGCCGCTTCTTAGAAATGATAATCGGATACAAAAATTACATTGATACATTTGGTGTGAAAGATTTCTGTGCAGCTTTTTAATTTAAAACATTTGCAAGCAACTCTTAACTGAAAGACTGTTTGTAAACAAAAATGCCATTAAAAAAATTGTATGCATCTTTCACACCTGATGCACTACAATATAAAATCTCGTTTAAAATGCACAGTTGCTGTGGAGGAAGCATGAATTTTAGAATTGACTTTCTGCAAATGACAAAAGGTTGTTGAGATGGAAATCAGCAAACTAGAGGCTAGATAAGTGTTTCTCAGAAGGAAATAATGAAATATTACTAGTGAGATAACAGAACCTACATGTTACAAATGCTGTTTCTAAATCTCAGCAGCTTTTATTTTTGTTCTCTGCTGAAAGAAAGGAATTCTTCTGGTAGGTGCATGGTAACTTGGCAAAGGACTGTTCTGAATCAGAACATCATCGTTGAAATGAGAAAATATATTAGGACTTTCTTTGACAGATCAGAGAAATTGCCCATAATGAAGTAAGAAAGTGTGACTCTGAGATTTGCATTGGGAATAGAATTCTTGATCATGGCCTTAAGAGTGAAACTCTAATTGTGCGCTTGCCATCTCTCCCCAATCCTTATCCATCAGTAGAAAGTTTTGCTTTTCTTACCTTTTTATTGTAACAAATACTTCTCACACTTTGTTCTATCAACTCAACAATTTTTCAAGCCACATTTATAGTTTGTTCGAATTAGACAGGGGTTGTCAATTCTACTGTTATTAGAGCTGGTTTATTTTTTAGCTTGCCATAGTCTTGAAGTGATTCTTCCTCCTCCCGAGTTCCCACATACTTTAGCAAGACAATTAGTACAATCTTCATTAATAAGTTAAAATAACTTTTTTCTTAGCCTGTTCTATGTACAAAGTTAGGGTCTAGATTAAGCATTTAGAATTAAGGGGCACTCATGTGTGCGCATACAGAGAACTACAAAGAACCAGAGTGCTATGCTTTGCTTATATGGGAGCTTAAGCACACAGAATCAGTGCACAACATGGTAAGAGTTTGCATTCAAAACTGATTTCTTTCTACCAAGATTTACTAGTTGATTCTTCACAAGCAGCTGATGCATTTATAAACCAGGCAATAATGAGTAGCAGTCTAGGGTAAACACAGAACTGAAGGGTATTATGAAAGATTTTGATTTTTTAAAAAACATTCAGTACTTTACCATTGTGTTCTAAGATTTTACTTTTCAAAATCAATTAGCAGTATGTTAGAATATTTCTTACTGTGACAGTGTTCAACTATTCCTACAAGTAATTGTCTAACTTCTGTTCTAAGCACCTAAGGCAAATCCTCAAAATGGAGACAAAGACATACAGGTTTAGATTTGATAGTTGGTTGAGTCACAAGGATGGAAAGCCTCCTGTCATTGCTGTTGAGCACATAACATACAATATTCCTAACACATATCACTTTGTGCAAAAATGAAGATGATCAGTAGTGACATATCCTGTGTGTTCTATTAGGTAATATGTGATTTTGAGTTTAGCTGTTGTCTGTTTGCACTTTACTATGAAGGAGCTGTTCACCTGTTGGATACCAACGGAGGCCTTACAAGGTATTAGTCTTAACATGTGACTGTAATTAGTGTATTTTAAATGAAAACACTTTTAGCAGTGGCATGTTATCAAATCTTGCAGTAGGGAATTAAGATGTCTGTCGGTATGGCATTGCATACAGGTTCTTGCCAGATGGAGTATCTACTATGTATCATAAGAAGTAGACCTGAGTTTATTTAAATTCCAAACTAGATCTTGCATCCATCTAATATCTTGTGAAAGCACTTTGCTAACACAAGTTCATTTGGATAACTAGTAAGGTTTATTTACATTTAGCTGGAAGTGATGTCCTTAACAAGTGATGATTTTTAGATAGTATTTTCCCAGACTATACTAATATCAGATGTTCCTTTAAAAATCCTCTCAATTGAGCCAAATGCAAATTCTTTAAAATACAAATTATTCTCATGTATGTTGGATTTATTTGTATTGGCAGCCGTTATCCATTTGACATAAGGTTTCATTGCAACAGCAGCCTCCTTTGGTATTTGGTTCTCCCTGTCCTGCTGATCAATAAATACAAAAAGATAGTGCAAGTATTTTGTTTGGAATGCTGCCTGAAACCAAAATGCTGGCTATTTAGTTTTCTGTTAAGCATAACTATTTTTTCCTAATGTATTTCCCTAATGCAGAATAACGAACTGTGCAAATCTTTTCTCTTATGCTGAATCACAGTGTTTTGTTTAGAAAGTGCCCTTTGAAGAACCCTGTATATTGCTGCACACTTCAGTAAATATCTGTCTACAACAAGTGTCATTTGAAAATTAAAATTAAAGGCATACAATATATTGAAAAACATATGGCTCAGAATATTTGAATTACCATTTATTTAGGCAGATTGCCACCTGTTTGGTACTTAATATGCTGATCCAGGACTCTGCGGAGGGAAATAGTTTAAAGGTTTGTTAAAACATGTTTTATGTGCATCATCATCATCATCATCATCATCATCATTAATAATAATAATAATAGTAGTAGTAGTAGTAGTAGTAGTAGTAGTAGTAGTAGTAGTAGTAGTTTTATTATTATTAGTTTTATTAGTTTTATTTATATGCCGCATTTCTCCCAACAAGGGATCCAAAGCGGTTCACAACATTAAAATTCATACAATTTAAAAACACAATAAATTAAATATTAAAAGATAAATTAAACAATATATGATTTAAAATACAATTAAAAGATTAAGACATGAAAACAAAAAATATTAAAATTATCTGAAAAATGGGGTACAGGGATTTAGTTATAACTGCTAAAAGCCTGCCTGAAGTGATGGATCTCTAGCTTTTTTTTTTAAAGGACAAAAGGGAAGGGGCCATCCTGATCTCCCGAGGGAGAGTGTTCCATAGCCTGGGAGCTGCCACAGAGAAGGCCCTCTCCCGTGTGCCCATCAGCTGTGCTTGTGCTATATAGGGAGATACGAAGAGGGTCTTATCTGCTGATCTTAATCGCTGAGAAGGCGCATATAGGGAGATACGGTCCTTCATGTAGCCTGGACCCAAGCCGTATAGGACTTTATAGGTAATGACCAGCACTCTGAATTGGGCTCAGAAAAAAGAGGTTACTTACCTGTAACTCTGGTTCTTCGAGTGGTCATCTGTGAATTCACACTAATGGGTTAATCTGCACCTGTGTAGAGCAGTCTCAGAATCTTAGAGCTTAGGCACATGGTGCCGTGACCTCCCCCACGCTGCCTATAACTCCGCCACGGCACCGAGTGCCTGTTCCGTAGAACTGCCCGCTGCTGCACAGCATGCCAAGAGGCACAGGTGACGGCTAGCGGGGAGGAAGGGCGGGACGTGTGAATTCACAGATGACCACTCGAAGAACCAGTTATAGGTAAGTAACCTCTTTTTCTTCTTTGTGGTCTCTGTGAATGCACACTAATGGGCGATTAGCAAGCTGACTTACCAGGTGGTGGGTCATCCCAAAAAGACAGATACCAGGACGGCACAGCCAATAGCAGCCTCAGCCTTATCTCAGATGTCCAGGCGGTAGTGTGCCACAAAGGTGAGTAGAGTGGCCTATGTGGCTGCTTTATAGATGTCTATCAAATTTACCCTCAGGAAGGCCATGGAGGATGCCATAGCCCTGGTAGAGTGGCTTTCACCATAGAAGGCAAAGGTGTCTTGGTCAGGTCATAGGCCAGGCGGATCGTGGAAACTATCCATCAAGAATTTGGCTGCAAAGAGACCGGAGTCCCTCTAGAATATCTGCGGAAGGAAACAAACAAGCACTGCAACAAGCAGAAGGCAGCAGAGTGAGAGACATAGTATGCAAGGGCCCTCTTCACATTGAGAGAGTGAAGAGCCCGCTTCCAATTAGATGTAGGAGATGGAAAAAAGGTTGACAGGACTATTGGCTCGTTTAAGTGAAAGGTCGAGGCCACCTTTGGGCAGAAAGACTGGTCCGGGAATAGAGTCACCTTGTCTGGATGAAACTGCAGGAAAGTTGGGTCAGCTTGAAGGGCGGCAAGTTCACTAGCCCGCCTTGCAGAGGTTATAGCTAGAAGAAACACAGTCATTAGCAACAGTAAGTTATCTGATGCTGAGGCCAGCAGCAGTCATTAGCGACAGTAAGTTATCTGATGCTGAGGCCAGCAGTTCAAAGGGTGGACCCATAGACCAATGAGGAGTGGGTGGTTTATAGGGAGGGCAGAGGTTCTTCAGTCCATGCAAAAACTGCTTGAGCATGGGATGTCTGAAAAGTCCAACCACCTTGGAAGAAGGTGGCTGATGGTCACTATTGCAGCTATATAAACTCTGAGAGTAGAGTGTGAAAGGCCCCAATGAAAGACTAGAAGGAACCGAGGTGGGCAGAACTGGGAATCCATGTGTAGAGGCAAATGCAGAAAACGCCTTCCATTTGCCAGAGTACGTGAGATTCGTGGAGCGGTGTCACACATGCCTAAGGACATCTGCTAGTGTGGGAGCAGCCTCCAGGCTTTGAGGTGCAGAGAGTTCAGGTCTGGGTGAAATATACCGTTCTGCAGGGAGAGGAGGGAGTGGTGGAAGTCATACATGGTCCACTGAGAGCTCATGCAGGGCTGAGAACCACAGCTGGCGCGACGACCAAGGGACGATGAGAATCACACTTGCCTTTTGTTGGTATATTCTAATGATGGTTCTCTGTACCAGAGGCAATGGGCACTGCCAACAATCTAAGATTTACCACAATATAGGAATGCATTCCTGGTGGAAGGTAAATTACCAACCTCCCATCAGTGTCACACCAGGATCCAGGGTTCTGATGGACTCCTGCTACAGCAGGCTTCCTAGCCTTCAAGAGCACAACGAGGAGGGAATATTGTCGTTCCCTTTCCACTGAGCTAATTTCTGCCTGCAGTGAAATGAAGACTTTTGGATCCTAAACAAAATGGGCAACTTGTTTCAGAACTAGCCAGCTCAAACTCCCCCACCCGAACACCCAAAAAAGAAAGAGAGAAAACAATCAGGTGTGCTATGTACAGTTTCTATTACCCTACTCTAGTAAAGAAACCCACATACAGCAAAATCCCTCAGGCATTACATTTCTGTGTATTCACAATGAGAAAAACTTCATTAACTATTGGGTAATTTGCCTGCACAGTGTTTATACTAGCATTCATTCAGTGTTGACATCTATTGCCCATTTGGAGGAATAAGTGAATTGGAGGAACACATTTTCCCCCAGGGGTCTCTCAATACTGCAAGAGATGAAATATTGTATGCTTGAGGTTGGCAGATGGATTTCTGGATTGGTGATAATCTATACTCAGAAGCTCAATAAATTTAACCAATAATTTAACAACAGAGACATTAATGCCAGTGTCAATGTCAGCTTTAATGCTTGAACAGCACTTGCTAATTTAGTAACAACTTTAAAAGAAACTAAAGCTTCCCCATAAAAAGATTTTCAAAATAATAAATAGTACAATTTCTTTAAAACATTATAATGTCAGTGTTTCCTGCATTGCCCCCTCACTTTTTCTTCATCTGGGTACAAACAAGTAGTCAAAAGATATGTTTTGCAACATCTTTAACAGATCTGACACAAAAACAAATGTCACATCACAAAAGAAACCTTTGGGTCACAAATGACCTATTTTTTAAAATTTTATATATATATTTAAAACAGCTGCAGTAATCAATATGTTAAGAATGTTTAGACCAACAGCTGTTTTTCTTACACAAAACTGTAGTGCAGAAATCCACCAAGATAAAATCTGGGACACAAAGAAACACAAAGTTCAAGTAAAATAGAAATAAAATTCACATATTTGTACATTGCCACTTCTAAATTCAAATACAGTATTTAAATCTGAGCAACAACATCCAAACTTACAAGTTTGAAACAATATTGATCTAATTAAATGCATTAGGTCTAATGTAAAGTTTAATCAGCTACTCCCATTAGCAGACCATAGGGGGAAAAACCAAGCTGAAATACTCAAGTCCTCTCCTAAAGGTGGTATGTCTGCCTATTGTAGCAAAGGATGCATATGCGTACCCACAATTCTTTCTGTTCCTGCCCTTACTCTGATATGGCTTCAGAATATATATTAATAAAGAGGGAGAAACAGGAGAGTAATGCTTCCTGTCTGAAAAGTGGCACTTAACAATGAAATAGAATCAGCTGTGGGACTGAGTGAGTAAAAATGAACACAGTTACAAAAGAAAAAGAAGGAAGTAGTATATGTCAGCTGAACTCCTTAGGTGAGAGCTCACCTGACAATTTTCAGCTTGGCTGTAGCAGAAAAGCCTCTTACTCTGGCAACACTTTACACAGAAGTAATGTCTGATGCCATGGACACTGCTCAGGTGCATGTAAAACATGCTTTCTCTGCCCAATAGCAATGGTCAAAATCCTGTTACTTGGTGTAGGCGGAATGAATGAGTGGGGATTTGGTGATTTGACTCCTTTGTAAGTTTCATTGATTCAAACAGGCTTCCTCTCACAGTGACTTACTATCCTAAAGGTTTTGGTCAGTATATTTCTAGACAAGAGAGAGCACTCTTTGCATGCCACTGGGCAAAATTGGGAGTAAAAAAGACTTCTGTTTTACTATATTATCAGCACAAGGCAAATGGCTTTCGAGTAGCTATCACAAAATGACAGTAGAACCTAAGCTGATGCACTGATGTAGAAAAATCTAACCAATGTCAAACATATCCTGCATGCCACTATTAACTTGTGTGACTTTGATTCTGTCTTCCAATAAAATAAAGGCACACGCAAAATATTATAATATTACAGGTGAAATAAAAATCCAAACAAGATATGTCGCTGATTATTCGATAATTAATTCTACTTCTAAATTTGCTGTTAACACTTTAAATATATCAAGATTGTCTTGGCAAATCTAAAAAAAAACCCAAACTCCAGAGCTTAATATTTTTGAAGGATAGAAAGCAGCCAAAGTTTAAGAAGAAGGCGCTCTTTAAGAGAACATACATACTGGTGTTGCATATAATACCCACCAGATGTCACCACAATGGCAGATATTTTACAGAAAGTTCAAAATTAATGCCCAAATATTAGAGGGGAAAATGACTGCTGGCCATGCTTCTTTATATCAATTAAATATTACTCCATCAACAGTTTTTCCCTGGGTGGCTGCAAATATAAAATTTAAAGCAAGACTTGTTATACATTAATATTAACTTTTGTATTGCACACCCATTTCTTTGGTTTCATTTACAATACAGCGTTCTGAGAAAATATTTCTGGAAAATATACAGTCAGTCAAATGCAATACACCTTGCATGTAGTTAAGCAGCATACAGAATCCAAGGCACCTTTTGAAACCTCAATATTTTAAGACAGAACCTGAAAATGCACATAACTCAAGTTGCTTGTACACAGCATGAGGTAATGATTATATAATTGCTAGATCTATCCTGTTTCATAAGGATGAATTTTATCTTTTTTAAAACTTTAAAATAAAAGATAATAGGATTACAATTTTACCTCTTTAAGTAATAAAAATTCACATGGAGACCAGTATGATTACAATTTTACACATTCCATCAATTACAAAAGTTCTATCAGAGATTTTCACTCAAGTAAATCAACTAGGTGTTTAAGCATATCACAAAGCACATGTTAAGAATGTGCCTGATGTGCACTGAAGCTTGATTTCTGCTATATGTATTAAATTCTCCCACAATAATAGTATTGACTATATTAATTTCAATAATACTAATCATAAACACTAAACCGTCCTTTTCAATGCACTGACTTGCAGAATATCCCTTTTGTCCTTTCCATTTCAACATCCTTTTCTTCTCTATCTCTAACAATTCATTCAACATTCACTTCCCCTTCTACTGCCTGAACACATCTTCTATACAACGTTTGAAACATATTTTTAATATAACAATAACTTGGTTTTCAATATTTCAGGGAAATATTTGAGGAAAGGCAGTGCAAACCAATTTTGATATCAGTGTACTAATTCTTACTCAAAATTGAATTTGGACTTAGAATGAAATTAAAATTTGCACATCCTTTTGTTTCAAAAGCTACAAGCATTAAAGCAAAGAATGCCTCTTGTTAATGTCTGTAAGAGTAGATTAATCACACAATCACAACCAGCATGAATGCACAATCAGAAAAATAGACTCTAGAAGAAATCACAGAAGAAGTCTACAAATACTGCAGTTCTCCTTTGCTTCTACATGCAAGATGTAAAGAATACAATTTATACAATCAATAATCTGTCATCTACTCTTGTTTTGGATACTAGGTTTGGCATGCTACTTAATAGCTGATAATGCATATCTTTTTTCCTGAGTGTTTTGGCTCCATTTTAACCCGGTTTCCAAACCCCACCAAGGGCTTCTTCAAGTTTGTCTCTGTATGCTGCATAGCGTCTTTTTAATATCTGTAACTGCTCATCTTCTTCCTTGTCCAGTATACGTAAGAAATTCTGTAGTTCAGGAAGGCTGAAGGCTTCCCACTGTAGAAAATAAAGTATTTTTATTTAAAATCCATGAAGTAAGCAGTAGAAACTGGAGAAAGTAAAATTGCAGTTCACTTTAATTTCCTTTATACTCAAGCAGATAAACCTATGGTAAATACCTAGTTTCCCCTGGGCTTCTCTGTCATAAAAGATCCTACAAGAAAGTTAATGTCCCTTTCTCATAAACATCAAAACACAAACAGAAAATAATCTCATGAAAGATCTCCCATACAAAAAGTTGTATGGTCAGGAGAGAAACAGAAAAGGAGTTTTAGTGAAATCAATTACTTGAAACAAGCTATGTGAAGATTACATTCTCCCACAGCAGAGGTCTATCCAGGTGTATGATCCTTAAGGGATGCTGTTAAAGGCAGGGACAAGAAAACACTTCTTCAGTGTAGATTCAGGCAATTTCTGCCAATTACTTTTTCTTTGTGATCTTTTTGCTGTCACAGAAACATCTTTTTTAAATTCAACTAGACCTTTGGCATTCAAGCTGACAATTTGTTGATGGCACTTCAACCAGTTAGATGCTCTTCCTATTCTTCTGTTACTTCTTCTATTCTTATTTTTTTTAATAAAGTTATGTTTCAATATTGCTTTTAATCTTCATTTTTGCTCTTCCCCTCCCTGCAGGTTCTGGCATAAATCAAATGAATAAGTAACCATAAGGTTTTTTTTCTTCATGCATGCCTCAAGGAAACACATTGCCTCATTAGGCAATCAGATCTAGCAGAGGGTTGTCTTCAGGAGAACACGGAGTGTCATGCAAGCATATGCAAACAAATCAAAAGCTGCTATTTCACTTTGAATCACGGTTCTCTACTATGTTCAGACTTGGAGAACTGTGCTTAAAACAAACCTGGTTCAAATTAAGGTTTTTAATGGAGAGAGGAAGAAGTGCTGCTGCACAAATGGTCTCCTCCTCATAAAACTGCAGACCCAACAACAACTTCTAACTGCTGTTACTGTAATAGTGAATAAAAAACCTTAATGCACACACTGAATTTTAACTCTCTCCCTCGCACAGCTCCTATTTCTGTGCATACACTGAAAGTACATTTGATAGACATACACATCTACACAGAAATTCTGGAAATTAGCAGAGTTGGATTTGAAGAGCAACAACAAAAGCTGTATCACAATCACAGATGCCACCTACCAAAACCTCTCCAGTTTCATGCTCACGCAGAACAAAACTAAGCATGTCTGTTCTCGGGCCTGCCACCAAACGCAGATAGAGTGGATGTTCGGTTTCTGAGAGTTTGCACATATAAACTGCAAACAAGATTACAAATGAGAAAGTTAATACAAACAGGACTCCTTTTGAAAATCTCTTTAAACACTGCTACACATGTGGAGAATCATAAGCAGAGTATTAAATGATGGAGAGTAATAATTACAATTGACTTATTTGAATCCCTAGTCTTTCCTCAAAGCTGAAAGGGTTATCCCCAATGCCTGTTAGACTCCCAACTCTGAAACGTAGATCAGTGAGTAACCAAACTTAAAAATAAGGTAAAATACATTTTACAGTTTTCATCTTACAAATTTCCTAACAATAATTTAAACATTTTTCAAAAAGCCCCAAATGATCTAGTTTAAGCATCCAATTTTAATAAAGCTGTGACTTTTAAAAAATACAGCCTGGTTTAAAATGAAATCTGAATTTAGTACAAATGTACAGGTTAAGCCTATCTCATCTTAACGTGCCACAGCAGGAAAAAGCCTTTCCCCATATGCTTAATACCTTTGTTGCTTCAAGCCACCAGACTGGATAGTTTCTACCTAACTACAGTTTCCCACTTGATTCAGACTGGGAAACAATTATTGTCATATTTGCTAGGTAACAGGACCGCATAATGAAGTCATAATTCAGTATTTTGGTCTTCTCAGAGCAGATCAAGCACAAGCTATGCCCAATGTAATACTGTACTGATCACTGCAACTGAATTTTCTTCCTCCTGCTGCCAGCAAAAACTGGTTGTATACAACTGGCTTCTCACCCCTGAAGAGCCAGTTTTAGAGGTACACTGGAGACTGTACTGGAGAGGGGAACTGTGCCCCCTTATAGTTCCTAGGTACCACCAAGTCATCATAGGTGTTAAGAACCAGACAACACTTTCCTCTATGGAACTTGCATAAATGATCTATTTTATGTATTCCAACTATTTGAAGTCTCCACAGTGTTTTCCCATTATGAATACTTACAACTACAGTACTATACAGTGAGCATCAACATCTACATTTAACCTAATTATGAGAGCACTACTCAGTTGCTACCAGATTTTTATTATACAAAGTCTAGGACCTTACAGTCCAGTTCTGTGCATTTGTTTAGAAATATTACTCATATTTTGGTTCATCCCCCACACTCATTTCTAATTCATGTTACCAGGGCTGTTGCTTGTGCAGCCAACCATACAGCAACAGTTTTTATTAAGTCCCCCTTTGTTAAATATGCTACCAAATAGATAGGGACAGGACTGTTGCCATAGTTTTCAAAAAGAAATGGTTTACTTAATAATCTGTGTGCGGAGAGTATGTGTTCAGAGAGCTCTAGATGAACATTAGACAACTCTCTCTCAGCAGATACATTAGAACAGCCGCATAAAGGAACAACATGCATTTCAAAATAGGAAACTGTATTTGAAATACAGTGGTGCCTCGCTTAGCAACGTTAATCCATTCTGGAAAAACATCGCTAAGTGATTTAATCGCTAAGCGATTTTTAAAAGCCCATAGAAACACATTAAAACTTGTTTAATGCGTTCCTATGGGCTTTAAAACTAACCTTATGCGAAGATCTTCCATTGCGGCCGCCATTTTCAGTGCCTCTAAAGCAAGGCTAAACACAGCGGGTGGCCATTTTGTTTTCCAGCGGCCATTTTCAAACCGCCGATCAGCTGGCCGAAAATGGGGGCTTTGCGGTGATCGCTTCCCCGCGATCATCGCAAAGCGATTTCCCCCCATAGGGGCCATCGCTAAGCGATTGCTCTGGCAATGGCCAAACCCCATCGCTAAGCAATTTCATCGCTCAACGAAGCGATCACTAAGCGAGGCACCACTGTACATTATTTATACTGGTCTTTATTGCTCGCTTAAAATTAGTCCACTATGCTTAATAAACCTTATGTTTTCCAACCTGCTCTAAGCTCAAATGATCAACTCCATCAGTATTATAAACTGAACACAATGAAACAAGATCTCTTTCTCTTATTCAAACACTCTGCTGAATCAAGGTAACTGGCAGTGTACCTTGATCTTCCTTGTGACAACGTTTGTAAAGCGCAAACTTGGCAGGATTATCAGCCACCAGAAACTTTTTCAGCAGGGCTTCAATAACTTCACGGACAGTATTTGTGCTGCTGATATGAAGAGTATTCACATAGCCATTAGGCAAATAAAAAGTCTCATTGTTGTTGTTGTTGACATGATTCCCAGCATTCATAGAAGCCTGTACTGTGATAGGTCTGCAGAGTTCCATCTGAACTTTGATGAAGCCAGTGTATACTCCATTGGAATTCTAGAAAAGAATGACATATATATACACATATACAAACATTACATCTTTTCCAGAAAGGGGAAACATCAAAGTTTCCTTCCCAGTAAAGATCCTCTTTTTGTTCATGTCAGAAGCACCAAAGTACAATTAATGAACATATCAGATAATTTTCATCCAATTATGGGCAACATCAAGAGCATTTGGGGTAGGTAGCCTCAGGTTTTCTATGGTATGTATGCATACATGTTTTTAATTTTTATACAATCCATCCAGTGAGAAGCCACTGCCTACCTGGGTGGTTCACAACAAAGTTGAAATCCCAGCCACCAAATGATAAAATTATAAACAGCAAAACTAATATCAAACAGTGACAATGAACCTGTCGACAACTGAAATACATGATACAATCGGAGGTCAACATAAATCTACCAAGGGGAAGAATATTACTATTTTTTTTTCTTTAAAAAGCTCTGCTTTAACTAACTTGTGAAAGGCCTGGAAGAAAGGGGCCTGGTGTACCTTAAATGGGAGTGAATTCCACGGATGAAGGCACACCAAGAAGGCCCAGTTCCCATTCAACACCTTCTGGGCCTCCTTCAGTGCAGGCATCTATAGCAACAAGGTCTGAGAACAGGTGACACAGGCAGCAGTTCTTTAGCAGAGACACTGTGACAGATATCAAGGTCCCAAATAGCTTAGGGCTTTGTATATCAACACTAATATCTTCAATTTGGCGCAGAAGCTTACTGGAAGCCAATGAAGGCAAGGCAGGATCAGGAAAATATTATTAAATTTGGATGCCCTGAAAATGACGGGTTACCCACCTGTAATTGTAGTTCTTCAAGTGGACCACTGTGATTCACACCCTAGGTGATCTGTACCTGCATGGAGCCTCATCGGAAAGTTCTATGGCTTCTGTTGTAGCAAAAAGCACATTAGAATAAGGTCCCCTCCCCATCGTATAAGTACCTTGGTGCTAAGGCTCTTCTTTCAGTTGTGTCAACTATTGCTACATTAAGCAGAATGGCTTGACAGAAGGGAGGGCCACACGAAGAACTACAATTACAGGTGGGTAACCTGTCATTCTTCTTCGTGGCCTCTGTGAATCACACCCTGGGTGACTAAAAAGCTGTCTTACCCGGAGTCAGGGTGTCACACCAAGGTAGAGGCTAGAACAGCATGTCCAAAGGCCGCATCAGACTTTTGCCGAAAATCAAGTCTATAATGCTGGATGAAAGTGGACGGCTATGCCCAGGTGGCAGAGGAGCAGACATCTGGAAAAGGTACGCTGCGTAGGAATGCCGTAGAGGTTACCACTGCTCTGGTGGAGTAAGGGCGAATCACCTTCGGGACTGGTTTACGTGGCAGCTGATACACAAGGTGAATGGTAGAAGCGACCCATCTAGATATAGTTTGAGATGTCACCTGGCGACCTTTAGTAGGTGGTTGATGACTTATGAAAAGTCAAGGTGAACGCCTGAAAGGTTGAGTGCATTAGACGTAAAAGGCAAGGGCTCGCCTAACGTCTAAACTAAAGTATGGAGGATTCTTGAGTTGTGGACGGTGATGGGAAGAAAGAAGGAAGGATAAATGGCTGAGAGGGATGGAATTGAGATACGACTTTGGGGAGGAAAGAAATATCCATGGATAGTTTGACTTTGTCCGGAAAAAACTATAAATAAGGATAGTCGTGATGTAAGGCCGCTAAATCACTAGCTCGGCAAGCTGAGGTGATGGCAACGAGGAAAGCTGTTTTAAAGGTAAGTAGCCATAAGTCAGTTATAGCTAAAGGTTCAAAAGGAGCTTTAGTAAGTACTAGTGTTAGTGACCATTGCAGGGAAAGCGGGCGGGTATATGGGTAGATATGAGGTAGACCCTTAAGAAAACATTTCAGTGTTGGATGCTTGAAGAAATCAGATGCCAGAGAGTTAGGGAGCTGATAAGAAACTATGGTGGAGAGGTATACTCTCAAGGAAGAGAAGGGAAAGGCCGCTAGATTTGAGATGAAGCAAAAAACGTAGAAGAGTAGTAAGTGATGGGTTGATAGAAGGCAATGAAGACGTTTCAATGAAAGATTTTAATCTGTTCCATTTATACAGGTAAGCCTTTCTAGTGAAGGGCTTCTTTGATTGAAGGAGAACATTCATTAGCGAGGTGGAATCCTCCAAGCTGCCAGGTGCAGAACAGGTAAGTCCGAGTGGAGTACCTGGGTGTTGTGCGTGAGGAGGTGGGGCAAGCGAGGAAGGTGGTGAATGTCTGATGAGAGATTGTGAAGGACTGGAAACCAGGGTTGACTTGGCCACTAAAGGGCTATAACGATGGCATAGGGTTTGTCTTGTTGTAGGTGAACCACGACCTTGTGGAGAAGTGGGAACAGCAGGAAAAGGTAAGTGAGGGTCCTGGGCCATCGGCCGAGGAATGCATCTCCTTGGGAGTGTTTGCCAATGCCAGCTCAGGAGCGGTATCGTTTGCACTTCCGATTCTCACAGGAGGCGAAGAGGTCAAGAGCTGGTTTGCCCCATCTCACGGGAGGCGAAGAGGTCAAGAGCTGGTCTGCCCCATCATTCGCATAGGCGAAGAAAGGCTGGTTAGTCTAACTCCCATTTTGAGCTTGAGAGTTCGTGCGGCTGAGTAGATCGGCCAAGTCATTGTCGTGGCAGATATGATGTGCTATGCACCACTCCCAGAGGTCGGTTGCTAAATGGGGGCGACTTGGAGAGTGGATGCCACCTTGTTTCAAAATATAGTATATCACCGTGGTGTTGTCGGTGGCAATTTGTACCATCTTGCCAGCGAGGAGATATCTGAAAGCTTTGCAAGCTTTTATAACCGCCAACAGCTCTAATTTGTTGATGTGAAGCGATTTCTCTCTGGAAGAGCACTTCCCGTGGATTTTGAGAGATTTGCAGTGAGCTCCCCAGCCTGTGAGGCTGGTGTCGGTGGTGACCTCTATTTGTGGTCGTGGTTGTCAGAACGGATGCCCAACAGATAGGTTGGGAGGAAAACGCCACCGCTGAAGTAGGTAGGCAAGTTCTGGGGTGACCCTTGAAAGAGTGTGAGGAGGGTCTGTGAGCGGGCCGGAGAGGGCGAGAAACCACAAGTGAAGAGATCTCATCTTGAGACGTATGTATGCACTACTGAAGTCATAGAGGCCATGGTGCATAGTACACATTGCACTGTCAAAGCGGGTACCATAGCATGAGGGGTGAAGATTTGAAATAATGCGATGAGATTTTCTCTCTTGTCTGGAGGAAGAAAAGTGTGAGCTTGTGTGGAATCTATGCATGTGCCTATATAATGAATAATCTTTGTAGGTTTCAAATTTGAGTTTTGTTCGTTGACAGCAAGACCAAGATTGCGAAGGAGGGTAGGGGTGAAGTGAGTCCCGTTGGGCCTTGTGATGGGAATGAGCTACGAGGAGCCAATTGTTGATATATGGAAATATGAGATTTTTTTTTGCAACCTGAGGTAAGCAGTTACTGGTGCCATGCACTTGGTGAATACTCTTGGAGCTGTTGCAAGGCCAAAAGGAAGCCTTTTGAATTGGTAGGCTTGTCATCCTAGCTGAAACTGAAGGAATTTTCAGTGTGAAGGATGTATGGAAATATGGAAGTATGTGTCTTTGAGCTCTATTACAGTTAACCAGTCGTTTTTGCGGAGTAAAGGGAGAGACAGTTAACCAGTCGTTTTTTGCGGAGTAAAGGGAGAACTGATTCGAGGGTAACCATACGGAATTTTGTGGTAATGATGTATTTGTTTAACTCTTGTAGGTCTAAGATAGGGCAAAGACCTCTGTCCTTTTTGGGTACGGTGAAACAGCAAGAAAAAAACCCTTTGTTGTGTTGTGAGACGGGTCATATGGAGTCTTTGAGGAGTAAATTTCTTATTTTCTCTTGCAGGGTTGGAGATGGTGGAGTGATGACATGCTGCCGGAGGAAGTTGGAAGAAATGGATGTGGTAGCAGTTGCAGATGATGGACAGTACCCAGGCATCTGTAGTGATGGATTCCCAGACAGGTAGGTGTTTCCAGAGGGCAGGATGGATGGAGTGGGTCCATATTTCCATACATGGGAGCATCAAACATGATGTTTGGGCTTGCGGTTCTTGCGCCTAGTAATGGGTTGTTGGCAGGTTTTATTTCTTTGATTTCTGAAATAGGGTGTTTAAGATCACATTGGAATTTTTGATATGAGTTGTACAGTCATCTCCATTGATTTTGTTGGGGGTGTTGTTGGTAAGATGGGCAAACTCTCCAACGTCTAGCTGCTGATCTTTTCTTTTGCACGTTTTCCAAAATATCATCAGTTTCAGCATTAAAGAGGCCTGGCCCGTAGAATGGAAGGTCTTCAATACGTGCGTGGGCATCCTCAGCCAGGCCAGCTGTCCTTAGCTAAGAGAAACGTCGTAAGGCTACTGAAGTGGCCACTGACTTGGCTGTGGCATCTACTGTGTGCCTAGCAGAAATAATCTGTTGTTTGGCAACGGAAAGGTTTGGGCGAGTACTTTTTTATCTTCGGGTAAAGATTCAACAAAGGTTGACATATTGTCCCAAAGGAAACTTTGATATGCACCCATGGCTCCCTGGTAGTTAGCAAAAGCATGGTGAACACTGCTGATGAATAAAGCCATCTTCCCATTGAGTCAATCCTTCTACTGTCTTTATTTGGTGGTATGAGGGTTTGTCGATGCTGAGATCTGGATTGTGAGGCTTCGACAAAAATAGTTTGGAGCTGGTTGCTTTTGAAGAAATAAAGTTCCAGGATCATGGACTCTGTAGAGGTTATCGATTTGTTTAGACGTGGTATGGGAAGAGGCTGGTTTTTGTCCAGGATCGTTGAGTGGTGCTGAGTAGGGACGGAAGCATCGAGATGTGTACTGGAGTAGTTGTATCTTTAGAGACTGGGCCGTATAGATGATCGGCCGGTTCTGTCTAAAGGACGGTAGATTTGGAGATTGAGAGACTTAACTATACAGATCATAAGTTGGGCGTAGGTTTGGAAGTCTTCCGCCGGTGATGGTGGGTCGGCATTGATGAGGTCGGATTCTGATAAGGTAAGTAATACTGACAGCATCTAAGTCTGGATCCATGAACAGAATAATCGGGATTGCATCGGGAGTTGACGGACTGTTGATCAACTTCAGTGTAGATAGGTTGAGTGTCATAGTACTGACGTTTGTGGCTCGATGTCGATGGAGATGGGATGTCCATGGGCATTTGTTGGTGTCGAGGAGTTTTGATATCGAGAGATGTCATCCAAGTGTCCATGTACATCGTTTGATATGGTTGAATATTGGTGTCGAACTCGGGGTCATAAGAATGTCGAGTTTGATGGTTTGGTTCTATTGGGCGACGGAAACTGTGCATCAATAGAGGGATAAAATGAGTGTCCATGGACCAGAATGGATATCAAGGATCATTGCTATTCCATCCTGTGTCTTGATGATGTCAAAACAGAGCTTGCTGATGAGCTGGCAAAGCAGTAGAGTATACAGACGCTGGAGGTGCCGAGCAAGAGGAATGATGAGCCAAGGTACTTATATGAGGGGGAAGGGGGGCTTATTCTAACATGTTTTTTGTTACTGCAGAAGCTCTAGATCTGCATGGATCACCCAGGGTGTGATTCACAGAGGCCATGAAGAACAAACTGTGTCACCACATTCTGGACCTGCTGAAGCTTCCATATCATCTTCAAGGCACCCCCCCCCCAGAGAGCATAGCAATAATCAATTTTTCCAGTTACCAATGCATGAACAAGTGTTGTCAAAGAGTTTATATCCAGGAAGGGGTGTCACTAAGCAATCTGCTGAAGCTGGAAAAAGGCAGATCTGGCCACAACTGTTATATGTTCCTCCACAGACAGAGTCAGGTCCAGGACCACACCCAAGTTACAGACTTGGTCTTTTAGTAGGAGTGTAACCCCATCCAGACCAGGCAAGTTAACACTTAACCTATCAGTTAAGCCTCCCAACAATAAGATCTCCGTCTTGTCAAGATTCAATTTCAACTTGTCAGCCCTTGTCCAGCCCATTACTGAGGCCAGACAGCACTCTAGCAAATGGATAACATCTACTGCAGATGACATAAAGGAGAGATAAGAGCTGTGTGTCATCAGCATACTGATGACAGGAACGCCAAATCTCCAATAACCTCCCCCAACAGCTTCAAAGATGTTGAATAGCATTGGGAAGATGATCAACCCCTGTGAGACTGCATAATGTCTTGAAGAGACAAGATAGCATCCCCGAGCTGAACCATTTGGACATGGCCATTGAGGAAGTACCAGAGCCAGGGAAGTGCTAGATCACTGATGCACAACTCTGCCAGCCTGTCCACAAAGATGTCGTGATTGATGGTATCAAAAGCTGCTGAGAGTACTAACAGGGTTATGCTCCCTTTGTCAGCATTCCTTAAGAGATTATTATGCAGAGCAACCAGTGCTGTCTCAGTGCCATAATGCAGCCTGAACCCTGAAGCTGAACCCAATGAATGCCTGCAACTGATTGGCCACAACCTTTAAATCAGTTTGCCAAAAAATTGGATATTAGCAACAGGTCTAAAGTAGAGCTGGGGTATTCATATATGAATAACCCCCCCCACAGGTGGACATAAAGAGGGACTGGGCGGCCAGCCACTCTCCTGCCAGGAGTGGCTAACCGACCGTGAGCTCCAGAGCGATAGGGAGTGCAGAGCCCATGGCAGCAGCGGATGGTGAGTTGACCAAACCCTTGTTATGTCCACCTGTGTGGGGGATATTTGTATTTGTATACAAATACCCCCATCTCCAGTCTAACGTTTTTCAAATTCTCTGTCGCTACATTGGATTTTTAAAAGAATGGGCCACATAACAGTCTCTTTTAATCAGGAAGGCATATGTCCTTCCTGTAGAGTTGATAACCTGAGTGGTCCGTTCTATCGTCCTATCTTTGGCAGATTTCAAAAGATAACCAAACAAGGAATCTAATGGAGAAGTGGTGGCTTTACAGCATGCAAGTGCCTTGTCCACGTCATGTATTAAAAATTGAAATTGATCCAACAAAAGTGGACAAGACAGTCCATTAGATATCTCACCATTATTAACTCCACCATTAAAGCAATCCAGGTCCTGTCTGATGGCTTCAATCTTAGACTGGAAATAAGCTAGAAACTACTTTCAGATGTTTACATTCAATTGAAGCATATTAGGCTGTCCAGCATTGCTGAGGTCATGGACAACTTGATAGAGTTCTGCTTGGTACATGTTTAGGAAAATAGAGTATACTGATATACATAGGTGTGAAGTTTCCTATTCACCCACAACGAAAACACACTGATCACCATAATCACCCATCTCCTGAAAAGGACAAAAGCTGATCTCACAGCCATAAATACTCAACTCCCAAACAAACTGCACCAGAGCACAGAGTGCTATCCTCTGAAGATGCCAGCCACAGAGACTGCGAAACATTAGGAAGAACAACCTTCAGAACACGGCCTAAGAGCCCAAAAAAACCACAACAACCATTTCCTATTCTTCTCTGCACTCACAAAGGGCTCTGTTGGTCATTTCGACCGCTAGATGATACAATTAGTTTGGCTAGTATAGGCTCATGTAATGTGTACACTAAAGTTTATACCAACCTGTTTCATAAGGGTCTTGCCATATTTTTGTGTACCTCTATCCTTAGTCCCCTCTCAAAAAATGAACCATACGTTTTAATGTAGGGCAAAGAACAAGGGGGAATGCTAAACGACTGACAACTATTTTTCCTAAGAAATCTGGCAGAGACATTCCAATTCACACCTCTGATCTGAGACTGCAGTCTTCATTTTGAAACTTGCAGAGAAGCCTGGCCCACACATATGGCCATGGTTTTGGGTTATGGTTTTTTTCTGCATCTTGCACAGTTCTATGGTTCTCAGTATGAAGATCTGCATGGATCAAAAGCTAGCTTCTATCTCACTTTTGAGAGGTGTATTAAAGGCATCACCCATTCTCACCTTTGGACAGTATAAAAGGATCATACAGCTTTTTAGTTCTTTGTTCAACAGGGAAAAATGAAATGGACATTTAGACCATTCCCTTCTGTATGTCTCCCACAAGGACTATTCCATCTGCTTACTATGAAACAATTACGATAATATTGCTTATTTTCATCTTCACTTTGTAATACTGGTCCTTTGCTTCTCATCTAGTAAGTTGTAAGCCATTATGGCTGAATCTCCTTTTGCAGTAAACACATGAGGCTATACAGCAGAGGTCCCCAATCCGTGACCCAGCAGTGGTCTGCAGCCTATCCAGGACCGGACCACAGACACAGATCTCCTACCCCCCGTGAGCGCCATCGTGCTCATGCATGTTCTGCCCCCCTGCACATGTGCACGAGCACACACCTTTGAGCGCGACATGCGCATGTGCACGCTCCGCCCCCCCTTGCAGGCATACCACACAAACTCAACTGGTCTGCAGCTGGGAAAAGGTTGGGGATCACTGCTATACAGTAAAACCCAGCAGTTCAAATACATTGTGAAACTGTACAAAAGTATTTTCTAACATCAGTGCCATTTTTAACATGCCCATACATGCACATCTTATAACCATGGGTAATCATAAAAACAACATACAGAAGCCTTACCAGTGTCATCTTTAGCTTGTCAGTAACATCTGCATTGTACATCTGGACTTTCTCCTTGACTGCTTCTTTGGTAAGGTAAGTATGAGTTTCTCTCTCTTTCTGAACATCCTAAAGTAAAGCAGGTTGAGAATTTCAAAGCTACAGGAAAATGAACTACTATTACTAAATCTTTTTGAGCATTTATAAACAGTACAGAGAAAATGTTAAGAACAGAAAGCCATGTACAAAAACTACAGTATACATGTATGTGTTCTGACTTAAAATTCCGTACTGCAGACATACAGTATATAATGGAGTAAACTTTCACTACTGAATACATGATATGGATAGAAGAAACTTCATTCACACTTCTTACACAATTCCATTTTGTCTGACAACCACAAATGGACTTTCCCCAGTGCTTCAAGAAACATGGCAAGAAACATAATATCTTGGTTTTGGACAAAATGCAGGTGTCACAAGTAAATGCCATTCATGTTTCTAATTTTATGATTTATAATAATACATCCCAAAGGGATCTATGCCAATCATATCTCCTATAAGGACGAGAAACATGCTCTTCCAACTTCCACCATCCTCAAAGTGTGCTATTCTTTCATAGAATGTACTGTATGAAATGTACCATTCTCTCCAAAATCTCTAGAAAGCAAACCATGTGCCAGCCATTTTCCCACTGTTGGTAGCTGCTACATAGTTTTGACAGCCCTGAGAAACAATAGGGGTGGACATGGGCTGATACTGCCTCCTTCCCAACCTGCCAAAGTAGCTCAAGTCTGATCTACAGAAATACAAAATCACCAGCAAAAACAGTGATTGAATGAGCCACTTTTCTCACCTTAGTATAAAACATGCCCAAATTCACTTTGGCTTTTTATTGCCAGCTGTTACTGTGAGAGTTCATTTTCTGGAGCTGTAGGCACCTCCAATAAAGGACGAGACGGTGGTAACAAGTCAAACGGTTCTGTGTTTATTGCTACATCAACATTAAGAGGGTGGGGGTTCAAGAAGGGGTTCAAAGTCTCTTGTAATTCCAAACTCGGTTTCAAAGGTGTCCACAAACTGTTAATAAACGGATTAGTGTTCTCCAGGTTCCATGGTCCTGTTAAGGACTTCACAGCACCAGGAATGGGGTTCAGTTCTTCTTCCAAAACAATTAAGGGAACGGTTTCTTCATCCCCGCTCCAGTCCCCCCAAGACGACCCCTCTCCGTCGTCGGCCATCCATGGCCCGGGAAACCCCCCAACTTCTGTAACTCGGCTATATGCCATGCCTTTTTCCTCTCCAACTCACGGGCCACCGCTTCTCTCTCTTCCCTCAGCTTCCGTCTTCACTCTTTGGTCTCCGTCTCTCCCCAATACGAGGGACGAGGCTTGAGACCAAGCTGACGTCTCTTTTCAGCCTCCTCGTGTGCGACCCGCACCTGCTCCCACTTGTGGGTCCACGGATCTTCCATCCAGATCCATTCCCAACCGCCTGGTATCTCTTCCCACTTTTCCCTTATATCTCCTACCGCCGCTTCGATCTCCTCCCCCTTTCTTCCCGCCAAAGTTCCCCCAGACCTGGGGGTAATGTTTAACTCTTTCATGGCTGACTCCAGGTCGCTAGTATCTACCCCTTTATTCTTCGTAGGGGATTCTGAGGTTTCTTTCCCCCAATCAGGGGTCTCCACTCCTTTCTCTTCCCGACGCGGTGGTGTAGGAGGTGGAGATGTTCGAGTGTGTTGGGCCCTCGACGGGAGCGACGACACTCCTACCAGGGCCTCCATCTTGGGGGCCTCACAGTTACATTCTGTATATTATGTTTAGATGACAGAATACCTTATTTTACATCAGATCAAAGGAAAGTTATATGGAGGCTGAATGTCCAGTCACTAATCTACTTTGAAGTTTTTAATTTCAGATGACAATTTATCAAAGAGTTTGCAAATGCAAATCCTTTGTAGTTTAGTAGTAATGATGAGGGGCAGAATTCAGAATAGGAAATCCAAATTCTTGCTTATTTATACACTCATTGGGTCAGTTAATCAACCTGCTAATCTTGGAGCAAGGCTAAAATGCCTCTTAAAGATTCCTGGAAGGAATTCAGGATGCAAACTGCCAGTTTTTAAAGATGATACTCAAAAGATGAGAAAACAATTCCCCCTTAGTAGCTTGGGACTCAAGCCAAAACAATTCAGCAGTCTTCAAATGAAAATTAACCTGTAATCTCTAGCCTTTTCTAAATGTGCCCCAGCCTGCCCACCAAAAAGAACTGTTAATTATATAAGGGAACAGAAGACTTTAAAATTTACTGGCTTTCCAGTATTTCGATATAGTCTAACTTGTAATGGTAAGCTCCCAGTGTCTGCACCAGCTTAAGCCAAGGGTCATACTGACTTTTATATATCGCTCTAAATCAATTTGCTAAATACAGAGTATATGTGATGAGAAAAACCACTGTTCCCAAGCTGCACTGAAAACTAATGTACTAAATATATTTCCACTGCTCACAGAAACACTGTACTGTATATACAGTAGTATAAAAGTTTTAGCTTTTTTGAATAGAAACATCTATTTAATTTCCTTAACATATAAGCTACAGATACAACAGAGAACTAAAATCAATAGGCCTGGGAGTAGTTACTTCTAATAAATAAAGGTAGAGGTTTCCCTTGACATTTAGTCCAATCGTGTCCAACTCTAGGGGGCGTCTCCAAACCGCAGAGCCCGTGTTTGTCCGTAGACAGTTTCCGTGGTCACGAGGCCAGCGCGACTAGACATGGAATGCTGTTACCTTCCCATCATGGTGGTACATATTTATCTACTCGAGTTTACATGCTTAAGAACTACTAGGCTGACAGGAGCTGGGACAAGCAACAGGAACTCATTCCGTCACGTTGATTCAATTTTACAACTGCTGGTCTTCTGACCTTGCAGCACAGAGGCTTCTGCGATTTAACCCGCAGCGCCATCACATCCCTTCTAATAAATAGCTTCCATTTAAGCTCTTACATGTGTATCAAGATCACACCTCTTTGTGCAAACAAAAGACTGCTTTAAAAATATAAAGAACATGAGGTTTCTCAGCCTATCACTCTACTCCTATCGTGTTTCCCTGAAAATAAGAATGGGTCTTATATTAATTTTTTGCTCCAAAAAACGCATCAGGGTTTATTTTTAAGGGGATGTTTTATTTTTTTCCATGTAGAACAATCTACATTTATTCAAATACAGTTATGTCATCTTCTTCTGGTTGCTGCACAATGGTGGAGGATGGCGTTTCATTTAACTGGGGCTTATTTTTGGGGTAGGACTTATATTACAAACATCCTGAAAAATCATACTAGGGCTTATTTTCAGGTTAAGTCTTATTTTTGGGGAAACAGGGTAGTTCTGAATAAGCCAGCAGCACAGTGAACTAGTCTCAAAGCTCTCACCACTGTATATGTAACATAACTATATACATAATTTGATTTAGTCATATCACAGGGGTTCCTTTTTATTATTATTATTACAGTGGTGCCTTGCTTGATGAGGATAATCCATTCCAGCAAAATCACTGTAGAGCGAAATCCTCATCAAGCGAAATAAAAAAGCCCACTGAAATGCATTGAAAACCGGTTCAATGCGTTCCAATGGCTAAATGCCTCAGCATCCAGCAAAGATCCTCCATAGGAGTGGTCATTTTCCATGCCTGTGCAGCACAAAATTCCTTCCTGAACACAGTGGGGAGCCATTTTGAGCAGCAGGCAGCCATTTTGAAAACCCAACGATCAGCTGTTTTGATCGTCGTAATGAGAGAAATCAGTTCCCGAAGCAGGGAAAGCGGTTTTTGCCCATTAAAACATCGTTTTGCGATGGCAAAAGTGATAGCAAAAACTTCATCATTAAGCGGATTCGTTGTCAAGCGGGTTAAGCAGGGCACCACTCTGACCATTCAAAGGCTTTCAATGGAGAATAAAAAAATTCACCAAAAATTAATGACGACTCAGAACAACACCAAATTAAGTTTGCATAGGGTTCAGGAGGTGGGCTACGATTGCACGCATTTAAAACAGGTTTCTAACAGTTTAAGACACTTTTACAGGAGCGAAAAAGGGACTTCGCAAAGCCACTGAAATGCATTGAGTCGGCTTCAATGCATTTCAATTGGGGAACCGGGTTTCACTCACCGATGTTTCCTATGGCGATTTTCGCTTAAGGACGGCAATCCGTTCCAATTGGAACAGATTAACCGGTTTTCAATGCATTCCTATGGGAAATGGTGTTTCGCAGAATGATAGTTTCACACAGCGATGAATTTTTTGGAACCAATTAACATCGTTGTGCGAGGCACCACTGTACCAATCGTCTAATTTAATATCATTTTTATCTTTCCAGAATCTAGCTATTAATATTCTAGCAATTGTCATAAAATTGGAAATCAATTCCTTTGAACAATAATCAAGTTCTATCTTATCAAAAATTTACAAAGCAACTTTAGAATTCAATTCAATATATTTTCTAAATATATCACATATCTCCTTAAAAATCAGTTTCCAAAATTTCTGAATCAATTTACACTCTCCATATGATAATACATGCCAAATTCTTCATCACATTTCCAACAAGCCTTAGAATGGTCTGAATTTCTTATAATCAATTTCACCAGAGTCACATAACACCTTAAACTATTTTTTAAATTCCTTTATTCTTACCCACATTAATCTTAAAACTCTCATCCTCCAAATTTTTATCCAAACTTCTGGTTTAATTTCTGTCTTTAAATCATTTTCCCAAATTGATTTCAAACCTTCTGTTTCTGTCTCTTTTTCCTCTTGTTCCAAAATTAGGTTATAAATTCTACTTACTACTCCCTTCGTCAAAGCATCTTTCTGCATGTCTTCATGTGATGATAGAAATTGTTCGTACTTAGTACATTCTCTACATTTGCCATTAGTTTTCAGCCATTCATTTGTCCAACTATCTAACTGGACATAATTATACCATGATAATTTATTAGTTTGAAGTTTAACTATAATCTGAACTTTCGATCTCATTTTAATCATCCAATCCTTCACTCTGCCAACTTTTTTATCCTTAAACAAATCAGCTAAACCAGTGGTCCCCAACCTTTTTGGAACCGCAGAC